GGTATAACGTTTTGATTAATGCTGGCCGGAGAGTTAGGCTCCTCATTGAACAATGTTTTGTTCAATTGGAGAAATGACTGTAGAGGACTTAAGCCTGCTACTTTGGCAGTGGAGAAAGATTTCTTCTGAAACAAAACAGATTGATACTAATTATAGTTTATTTAAGTAAGATATATATATTCATGTCTAATTTTTATTAAAATTCTAACAAATAAGTAATTATTGATCTAAGTATAAACTTTTATTTATCAGAAAGAATTAAAAATAATTTGACATTTGTACCTTGTACCTATTTAGAATAAATTCACAAGAAAATAATTAGTTATGCGCATTTTTTTTTATATACTGCAATCACTATCAAACTGATAAGGTTAAAGTTGATTGCATTAAAGGAAACCTTGAAGTGTCTTACATAATTACTGATATATCAGGGCAGAGAAGCAAATAAACATCATCCTGTATGTATTAAACATGTGTTTAGAATAAATGAAATGAACATGTGTTGAAGCACATTCTTATCTACAATCACATATTGCACATTTTCAATTGCATCATTACTTAGAATGGAATTACTGCTCACTGGTGTTACTATGTTAAATTAATTTTTGCTCTTTAACCACAGAATGATATGATTCATAGTGTATAATGACCTATGTCAACAAGTTTTAATATATGTGTACTCACAGTATTTAAAAAAATATATAATGACTACCTGATCATCATGCGATGATAACTGCTTGGCATAATCCAGGTACTGTTTGAGTATGACATCAGATTTGTGTGACACTTCACGGAAGTTGTGCAGTACATCCAACTTGTACACGCACCGATGACAAATGATTGGTGGCAAAGAATCTCCATCTTTTACCTGAATAAAATGCAATTACATCATTGCTTTTTTTATCAACTAATATATTATCTTTTTATACTACTAATAACAACGTTATTGAAATAACTTTAATTTATCTTTACAATATTTTCTAAAGAAGAATAAATGATAAAATGAAGGCAGTATAGAATATAATATTGATATCATTATGTGTTAAATTATATTTTCTTGTTAAGTATTAAAATGTGAATTCCAATTTAAAAGCAATGGAAATAAATGTCTTACTAGTAAAAATGAGAAAAATATGAAAATGTAAAATTTGTCTTAATCTCTTTTCATGCAAAAATTCAAAAAGGATAGCAGAGATAAATAAAACGAATAATTTTTTTCTAAGTAGGTTGGACGGAAACAGAGCTTTCTTCCAGAAGAACAGAGTGTGCTGTATATATGGGAACAGATCACAAATTGAGAAGAAAAAGGAGAACTATTGGATAGAGTCAAATGTGACAGCGACTCGTGGAATCCGCGTGTGAAACCTGATAACAGGCCGTCTAAATAAGGAGCTGCTCCCCTCTCCATGAGGTCTGTACAAGCGAGGAGCACAGCTTATCACTGCCATTTTAAATCCCCCGTGAGTCGGCTTATCTCGCGGACACATCTCTTGCCAAACTTTCTCCCGTGGCACGCGCACACACACACACGCACCCTTGAGACAGTAAGAGGAATAGAGATAGAAGACGACATAGACAGAGACAGACGAAAGCAAGACGAAGAAAGAGAGATAGGAGTACGCGCGAGAGAGAGGGAGACACACTCTAAGTGCGAGAACCACAGATGGTCGCGTCTGATTTATCTTCGTCTCGGCACGAGGACCCGGTGAAAACTCTTGACGAGACTCACCGTAATCGAGAGGCACGTTAGTATCTTATCGGCGAAGTTCCGCTGAGCGCCTTCCTCTTCGAATATGGACAATTTGACACCGTCCGACGATAAACAAAGGCGACACAGCTCGTAGAACTTGGGCGGTACATCGAACATAATTGTAAGCTCCGGCTACGTTGCGCCTTGCGTAAAGCGCGAGTCATCAAGAGGTAGACTCTTTCCTTGGCCGACGTACTATCTTTCTCCACTGCCACTACGCGTTTAGCGACGAGGAAGGGTACGCGATCACTTATCACAGTCACCGCCGCGGCTCATTGTCAGCGGCACAGTACACACGGTCATACAGTTATACTTGCATATAGAGGGGAGACCATGAAGAAACGAATGTTCCTCTGACTTCCTTTTTTCGATCCTGCTCACTGGGAGGCGCTGACGATCATTTCTGTCCTCGAGGTTACTGAATTTCACTGGAATCATCAAAGAATCAAATGCCACGCCATATTCTATCTTCTCTCATTTTTTTGGAACTTTCAATTTTTATGATGCACTTACTTTTTAAATAATTTTACTAAAAGTATGAAATATATTTACTCTTTGCAAGTGTATAACTTATATTAAAAATTTTATTATTTAAATTATGTGATTCAATCATCCTGTCATTCCTTTGAAAATCACAAATCCTTTCGTCTTGGCAACTAATATACGCTCCAATTTTTAGATTACACCGTTTATTTTATTCATATAACAGATACACCTTTCGCGTTTCTCTGTTCCTTGTAAAGCATAACTGTACTTTTGCATCGTGAATTATGAATTTAGAGTATTAGAAAATCATGGATAGTTACAAATATATAATTAAAATAATAAATGTATTTACTAAATGTAATTTAAATGTATTTACTAAATATTAATTGACCTTGTGTATGACAAATTTGAAAGCATAGATCTTTTATAAAATGTATTATCTTATCACTAAAAATTATATTAATTGGCTAATATTATAAGATCATTAAAATTATTCTATCTACATATTAAATATCATGAAAATGATCAAAAACTTAATTGGTAATTTTTTAATTCAATGTCATGCAATGATCAGAGATCAGTAAATAAATCGATGGAAAGAACGAGTTTCTTATCACGCGTCATTTTACTAGGAATTTCATTACATCGGATAAGTAGCCCAACCCATAAATAAATCAGGCAAACGGGGAGAATGACTAACACAAGATTACGCGACCCATCGACCACTTTCGGCCCACGCTATTTTATCACACGTTTAATCCGATCTTCGTACGTATAAGGTTGTGATACGGCATTCATGAATTTTTACTTGTTATGAATTCATCACACTACCATTCAATCTTGTAAAATTTAAATATTACAAAATTTGCACACTTTTTCTGAACAATATAATATTTATAAAACAATATAGAATTTTAATTGTTCATTATATAATTATAATTATTCTGCTTTCTTACCTTTTTATAGATAAATTGATGTTAATTTATTGTAACAGTTGGATATATACCAATGTATAGTTTTTATTATTATCCCGAATAACAATATTTACAGAAATGTACAAGTAACACATATTTTTAGTAAATGTGTGTATGAATTATACAATAAATCAGATGAAGAATTAAATTATTATTCCACTCTGAAGAATTAAGACTTATTTAGTTTCCTTTAAACTTTACATTTTAAAAAGTAAATTCTGAAAATTAAAATTAATAGTATATGTCATTTATTGCTATTGCAAATTTGTAATAGTACTAGTTTCATTTCTCTGTATCTCTAGCATTAAACATCATGAATATTAATCAAAGATGAGTAATTCTGATGTATGTATACTCTCTGTATAGAACCATGATGCACTGTAAAAAATAGTATTATCAATGACTTAGTATCTCTGTTTGAACAACAGTTATAAGTATCTTTTTCTTATAAAATTATTATAAATTTTTAAATAAAAAATTATGAATATACACTTTTTACAACCTTATGGTAGACATTACATGTAACATCCACAATTTTCTGGACTGTTTGGTAGGGAATGTTTCATATTAAAATCATAAACAAGTACTTTTGTAATACATATTCACAAAAATAACACAAAAATATTTAAATAAGTCATGGATACTCATTTGCACCTGATACATACACTGGACACATTTTTCGTTCGTAAAATAACATGATTTGTGAGGTATACATTGTACATTTAGTACAAAGTCATAAACAAACTTAGATGAAATAATATTCTTTGTAATATATCTATCTTTAAACCGATATCACAATTCACTTTTAATCATTTCTCTTTCAAAAACATTATGTTCTTGGGAAAAATTTCCCACTTGAGTATTATTTATTTTGCTATCTAACTCAAGTAACCTAATATTTTTGTAATATTTCCTATATTTTTTTCTGATAAATTTTACTTTATGTTGATCCTCTCTTAGATCAATAGTGGAATTCTTACCTTTTTATAGATAAATTGATGTTAATTTATTGTAACAGTTGGATATATACCAATGTATAGTTTTTATTATTATCCCGAATAACAATATTTACAGAAATGTACAAGTAACACATATTTTTAGTAAATGTGTGTATGAATTATACAATAAATCAGATGAAGAATTAAATTATTATTCCACTCTGAAGAATTAAGACTTATTTAGTTTCCTTTAAACTTTACATTTTAAAAAGTAAATTCTGAAAATTAAAATTAATAGTATATGTCATTTATTGCTATTGCAAATTTGTAATAGTACTAGTTTCATTTCTCTGTATCTCTAGCATTAAACATCATGAATATTAATCAAAGATGAGTAATTCTGATGTATGTATACTCTCTGTATAGAACCATGATGCACTGTAAAAAATAGTATTATCAATGACTTAGTATCTCTGTTTGAACAACAGTTATAAGTATCTTTTTCTTATAAAATTATTATAAATTTTTAAATAAAAAATTATGAATATACACTTTTTACAACCTTATGGTAGACATTACATGTAACATCCACAATTTTCTGGACTGTTTGGTAGGGAATGTTTCATATTAAAATCATAAACAAGTACTTTTGTAATACATATTCACAAAAATAACACAAAAATATTTAAATAAGTCATGGATACTCATTTGCACCTGATACATACACTGGACACATTTTTCGTTCGTAAAATAACATGATTTGTGAGGTATACATTGTACATTTAGTACAAAGTCATAAACAAACTTAGATGAAATAATATTCTTTGTAATATATCTATCTTTAAACCGATATCACAATTCACTTTTAATCATTTCTCTTTCAAAAACATTATGTTCTTGGGAAAAATTTCCCACTTGAGTATTATTTATTTTGCTATCTAACTCAAGTAACCTAATATTTTTGTAATATTTCCTATATTTTTTTCTGATAAATTTTACTTTATGTTGATCCTCTCTTAGATCAATAGTGGAACCTAATATTAAATGTATATCTTTAATGTGTGCCAATTTCAGTAAAATGATTTTTCTCTTATTTTTGGCACTTATTCTTCCTAGTAAACTAATATGCCTTATTAATTTTCGATAATCTCGAAGCAATTGTTGAATAATATCTAAACACAGCCAACGCGTTCGAGCGATACACGCATCTGGAACCATACCGGCTCCAGATTGACAAATATTTACAAGTGCTTCAACATGTGAATCTCCATCCAAATTTGCTAATATGAAATTCACAAGATTCGGTATTGTAACTGGTAGAGAAAACGGATACACCGTGCTATCCTCTTTTCTAAAACGAAAAAAACAAGAAAACTGTTATAGAATACGATCACAGACGATTCAATTATAATTACCTTTTGGCAGGAAAAAAAAGAATAGATGGGAATCGATTCATATTATATTCCCATGGTAAATCATTGTTATCACCATCTACTCTTACGAATAAAAGATGATCCATTTCGCGTAAATAATGAGCTACTGTTAAGTATACATAAAATATCGCGCTACAAAATCCACAATAAGGAGAATGGTACATTACAATCACATCCTGAAAAAAATCATTAAATTTAATATTTCTCTTAATTATAGTATTATTTTATAACTATAATATATTCATTTTTTCCCAATTTACCTTTGTTGGATCTAAAATAGTATCTAAGAAAGTTTCAGTTGTTAATTCTGGTATACACACACTCTGTACATCTTTTGTTTTACAATTAACTTTAGTCTTATATTTTTGCACAAAACGTCTTGAATTATTAGAACGTAACGTGCGTTGTAAAAAACCTTGGGTATAATTATTTATAAATTGTATAAGTGTATATCGACTAAAATCCTCTTGCATAACATATTGACTCTCATGCTGAAGGAAAACATTTTGTATTAATATCTTTGATAATGTAAAAATATATTCTAATACTTACAGCAACGTCTAATAAAACAACAGCAGTCTTATCCTTTTTTTTAAAGAGATCTATGCCGAGACCTTCCGCGAAGTAGAAATAATGTAAACTATCAATTGCTATTAATGTCAATGTCTTATTCATTTTACACACTGATTTTGTTAAATTTATATTCGGATGTTCCAAATTATCTCGCGGAAATATAGGTTGATGATATTTGTTTCCAGTTACCCACTTTTTACAGTCAAATTTTAAATGTGCTTGTTTTACTGCATCTGCAGATCGTACATCCTCTTTGTTTGCAATAAATGTTGATGTTTTATGCTTTTGACTAAAAAAGAAAAAAATATAAACAAAATGGATGACTTTAAGGGCAAATTCTTTTGTACCTCTTGGATTTAAATCCGTTTTCATATTTTACTACCATGTGATCTTGATTACAACAGATTTCATATTTCTGTTGTGAATCTTCCACACCTGAAACTTTAAAAATATCTGCACTTTTGCAAACATCATTAAATTTATTAGAATTAAGTTTACAAATAGATGTCCTTCTTTCTGCATTATTTAATATGTTCTTTTTGCATAAAGAACATTTATTTATTATAACATTAACACAGCAACTGTCATTAACCCATCTTTGTATCGAAATGCTGGTAGTTGACTTATTTGTTTGATTCTTTGTTTCCTTCAAAAGTTTTGCACATAATTTATTTCGTTCTGAATGTTCTGCAATAGCGATATGCCGCTTAAATCTGAGACGTTCAATTATCTCTTTAGTTAACAGATTATCTGGACAATTATAATACTGCAGTCCAATTTCTCTGATCTAAAGGATCAATGTAATTTTTATTACATATCCTTTCAATATCACGATTGTGTTTACAATGCTACGCACCAAATTATAATTATAATTTTCGGGATGCAAAGGATTACGAGGTGTGAAGAGAAAAAGTACAGGCCCTTCTTTCAAATATGGCGCTAATGTTAGTGCTTTTACTCCTGGAGGTTGCAGCCATAGAACTGGTTGATGAATAGAACTGCTAATCCAATTTAATATGTTTTCGGAAGTCCATTCAGAGTCTTCTGGATACCTCTACACATTTGAATTCTCAAACTCATTTAATCGTGCTATATATGCAAATGTTTTTGCTTTATGTATCCAATGTATTTATAACTGAAAAAATATGAAAGTCTTTCTCATGTACTTACTAGAGATTCATTCCATGTGAATAAATTTGCAGATGGAAGGTTGTAAATATTATAATCTATTTTACTAGATAATGCACTAGTGACAATAGCAAAAACCAATTCCCTATTTGGATCTTCTTCTAATATTTGTATAGCAGCCTTATAAAATTCTTTGTAACCAGGAGTTTTATCTAACCGAGTGAAATTAAAATAACCTACTACCACAGCCTGCAATCATAGCAATAAATAATCTATTTTTCTTTACAAGAAATAATTTATTCTAAGACATAAAATGTAAATCATTTATTTATACTTACATCATAATTCATACGTAAATCTGTTAATTGCTTTTTATGTGTTACCCTAACAATTGGATTCATGACTGTATCAAGAAATTTTATCATGTATGGCCATGTACGTATACCTCTGTATTCTATACCAGAATCTCTTGAAGGATAAAGCATTAAAACTGGGTAACTTTGTATTTTGTTATATTGAGTTCTACATTCTGAGCTTGGATGCCAACAATTAATGGCAGCAAAAAAGACCTAAAAACCACAAAATTATGTTAATCTTATTATGTGACAATAAAATGATTATATATTTGATAATTCCAATATCTTTGATACCTGTGAATGATAATGTTGAGCAACTGTTTCAAATTCTTGACGTACAGTTTGACTTTCTGCATCCCAGGGAGCATAATACATAACAAAACTAAAATCTGATTCTATAACTCTCTCTATCATAGCTCCTAAATGTCCTTTATAAAAATCTAAGACGATTGAATTTTGATTAAAAAATGGTTTAGCTAATGGAGGTTTTGATATTTTGGGAGAACTGAAATAAAAATAGATTATAATAAATTAAAAAATTATTTATAATACTACCAAACAGATATAAATATAATTTATTCTTTATTCCTGAGACTTTACTTTTAAGTTATGGAACATTTATTGTATAAAGTTGAAATGAAAAATTATGTTACAATATTATGTATTATTTTATATTATGTTATATTAGATTGAAATTAATGAATTTTTTACTAGAAAATTATCATAACCTAAAACTTACGAACTATGGAGAACAGCTAGGGTAGTAAAGATAATTGCAAGGAAAAAATGAATAATTTTTCTGGCATATGAAAACATTTTGCTGGCTAATCTTTCTTCTATCGCAACCTTCTGATGTGACTCTTTGGCCACGTCGTTACTTCCTGAGTCTGGTATAGTCGTGTGCGAGTTATCAGCATTTCTCGGCGTGCTTGCTTCAGGTTCTTCCTTCAACATTATCCGTCAAACCAAAAGGAAATTAAGGCGAGAAAAATAACGTACGTTAGAGCCACATCACACCCTCATTGTTTACTCCGATACTGCCAGTCCAACTACAGCTTATTTAATTAAATTTAATTAGCCGGGTTTTTCACAAATCTCTATCGAGCCACCTGTATTTTCGCAAACCGGAAACAGCTGACCGCTTGTCAACATATCGTCAATACACGGTTCGAAAGAATAACATTGACATAGTTTGCTTGAACCATAGAAAATGCAAGCGATTTTTCGCGATATCTTTCGGCGTTTATTCGAAGTAGTAACTATTATGACAAAAGAGTTGAAAATTAAATATATTTAAAAATAAAATTCCTAAAAATTAGTTCTTTGATGCCTGACTAGCTTTTTATGAAAAAAATTCATTCATTGTGTTTATAGCATTATCGATTATTAGGCTATATAAAAAATAATTAAAAATCTATATTTAAATAATGGGCAGTGTATAAATACAATATTTTTATTGCATAATTGCATTTTATGATTAATGAAAAGTTGTACAAAAATCTATAATGAGAAGTCTCTTAATTTTTTTACCTAATAAGCTTTACAAAGAAAAGCCAGGGTACATGTTTGGTAAAGTGGTATATGATGATCATACAGGAGTCAAAAAATTTTATGTCATTGGTATATGTAAAATAGACAATTTAGAAACAATAAAATATGCTGATATAATTGGATATTATTCTGGCAAAGAACAGAAACGAGGATATATAGATAAAAAATATTTAGACTGGATTAATATATGTTTACATCCTACATTTTCCTCCAAAGTAGATATTTATGATTACAGTATAAAAGGCATTATTGTAAACAATAAAAAAATTTCTACTTTGCATTTTCATACAGTCATTATAGTGTATGATCAGTCAGCGCTTAAAGAAACAGAATTATTTGTACAAAAGGCAGTGTCTGGAGATCACTTTTACGAATTAATGAAAATTGTACAAAACAAACAAATTGAAAAAGAAATACAAAAAAAAGGAAAATGTACTTATATAAAAGAAACTTTACTTGTGTATCATATGTTCTTATATTTTTATCCAGTTTTTTTCCTTGCTAAAATAACTAATAAATTATTACCAATTTTAAAATACTCTTTTCTTGGCTTACATGTTAATGGATGGTTGGAGAATGTTAAATGGATGTTAATTGCTATAATAAAAAACAAAAAGTTTACTTTGAAGACTGGTAACTATGTTTTTGCATTGATAATAGATATGTTACTAGGAATTTCTATATTACAATTATTATTACATTACTTTGAATATACATCTTCATCTCAAATACTGTTAAACAATGCAGAGGTAAGTAAAAGTATTTATATATATATTAATATTTATATATTAAGATATATAAATTTACCACTAATTTAATGACAATTTTAATGTATATTTTACAGAAAGTGGTAACATTTTTAAAAGATTTAATTAATTGGTTAATGGGTATACCAGCTGGTTTAAAATTAAATCATGCTTTAAACAATATGCTTGGAAAATTTTTTTTATATCATATAAATATGTGGTGGACATTCTTAATATTTATGAAACCTGTAATGGATTTTACATTTGAAGTATTGGTATTGTTTGGAAAGCTTGGTATTACATTTCAAATAGCAATAGCAGCTGATCTTTTAGCACTTGTCAGTTTCCATGCTTATTGTATTTATGTATATGCAGCAAGGTAAGAGAAACATAAGTTACAGAAAAAAAATGCAGTCTGAATAATAACTCTATTTTTTATTAGGCTTTTCAATATCCAATTAAAGGGTATTACTGCTTTATTTAGACTATTTTTGGGTAAAAAAAAGAATCCATTGAGAGAAAGAATTGATTCTTGTCAATATAAAGCTGATCAGTTATTTGTAGGAACTCTACTATTTACTATTTTACTCTTCCTTATGCCAACAACTTGGGTTTATTATGTAGTTTTTACCATGGTACATTATAAACAGTTAAATAAATTTTTATTATGATTGTAATTAAAACATTAATAAGTTTATTTTACAGCTTAGATTAGCATTAATTAGTTTTGGAGGTTTATTGACAAGAATGAAGTTTTATTTTCAAACTATGCCTGTGTATGCATTTTTTAAGTGGTTATTCCACTCCCATAGTACATGCAGTAAGTTAAATATTTTGTTGTCAACTTATTACTAAATTATTTATAAATGATACAAATATATGTCCTAGGTATTGTTAATATTAAGGTATATTCGCATAAAACAGAAGGACCAATAGTCTTAATAATGACAATGGTTGTAGCATCATGGCATTATACATGGAATAAATGCATACCAGACACAATTATTCATCATCCACCTATAGAATGGAGTAAAATAATAAATAACATAGTATGGGGAGAATTGTTATATCCATTATAAATATTTATTTACGGCTCTATTTAATACATAAAATATACATTTATATGTATTCCATTTAATTATGAAATAACATGAAATAATTATTTAAGAAATATTATACAAATAATTATGAAATAATTACACAGAATTACTTAATTTTTATGTTTTGTTTTTTCCTGTTTTCCATATATTTGCTCTAAAACTTCTGGTGACATACTTGCAACTATAGCTTCATCAATATCATTTTCTTCTCTCAACACACAAAAGTATATTAATAATGCACCGATACATAAACTAATAATATCAGGTTGACACTTTGGATATTGTTTTGCACGAGCAATGGTATATGCAGCAGGATGTGTTGCTGCTTTTGATGTTGAGAATTTTATAGGTTTGTCATTCTCATCATTTTCAAGTTTATCTTTTTCATTGTTTCTTTTAATAAATGTAGAATATGTTTGAGGAAAAATAAATCTAAAATAATATATTTATCTTTTTATCACAGTTTCAAAATGTTTAAACAAAAAGTAAAATATTAAATAGTGTGTTGAAATAAATAAACTATTGTAAGAATATACTTTATAATAATGAACTTTTTTCAGCACTCAAAATTTAAAAGTATACAACAAAAAAAATATTACATATTTAAATTTACCTCTTTTTTAATAATGAATTTCCACTTCTAAGTAGTACAGCAATTTTAATCCTGTTTATGTGCATCATTTTTACATATAAATGTTACAATATCTATATTTCTAATTTGTATTATTTTTATTGAATATCAGATAAATATATTCGTATTATCTCTTTCGTTTTATTTTTATTTTCTATTTTTTTTATTTTTACACAAAAAGTTAGTTATTAAAATTTATATAATCGTCGAATTTTCGATGCTCTTATATTCCTCACTGGTATTTAATAAACGTGTATGAACAGAAGTATGTAACACATGTACTGCAATACGAAGTCAAAAGTCACTATTTTGTTATACTTATTATTTCATTTGTATTGAGTGTCAAGTATAAAAACGTTATTAATGCATTAAATGTTACAACTTCATAAATTTTGAAATATATTCATGTATAAAACACTTAATTGATTTATATAATAGCATGGGATTTGATAATATGTCAAAATTTGAGGTTAAGAATCCAGAGTCACGAAAACGAACGAAAAAAAAATGTAAATCAAAAGGTGAATATTTAATAAACCTCATTTAAATTTCATAATGTTATGTTTTTATTTGTATTGTTGAGGCATGAACCCCATTCATTCAATTCATAGATTTTGAAATTATTGCCCATAGGAATTACAAATAAAGCAAACAATAATGTTGATATCCCAGAATATGATACTAATCAAGTGAATGAAGTAAATGAACTAAACATGAAAAAACAAAAGGAAAAGAAAAAAATGTCAAATACTATCAATGACATTCATAAAAAAATAATTATGGATAATGAAGAAGAAAATAACAAAGAAAAAAATAATTGGGATGAAGAAGAATCAAATGATGAAGCAACACCACCAAAGAAAAAAGCAAAGTAAATTCCACTATATTAATATTTTAACTGTTTTGAATGTTAAATTAAAAGAATTTTTGTTACCAGTATACATGCAGGAAATAGTTTAAATGACATAGAAGAAATTCATAAAAGTGATATAAAAGGTCCAAAACAACCTTCTAAAAGACAGATGAAAAGAGAAAAAGCTGAGAAAAAAGTGAATGAGAAAAGAATGGCTAATAAAATGGAAGCGATAAAGAAAGGACTTAATTATGTTTCAAAGGTGTTTTAAGCAGTTTTTTTATACAGTTATTTTGTACAATCAAGATACACTGAACAAAAATCTTTCTTAATGCTTTTATGATAATTTTATTTACAGTGGAAACATGCACGGACTGAATGGAAATTTGAAAAATTAAGACAAATTTGGTTAATTGACAATTTGTTAGATGAAACTTCTATACCAGATGACATTTTTCCAACAGTTTTAGAATATTTCGAAGGTTGCAAGGGAATGGCAAGAGAACAACTTTTAAAAAAGGGCATGGATGTTATAAGGAAAGTAGAAGAAAATGAAGAAAATAAAAATGAAGTAGAATCTATTGCTTATCAAAGGGCAAGAAGGCTTTTACAAGCTTTACCTACTGAAACCTAATTCATTTGAAGTTGTACTTAAAGGCTGTCAACTATTTGATATTTTTATTGACATTGAACAATCTTTTTATACATTAGTAAACATTGTTTTTTATTTGTGAAACAAAATGTATCAAGTTTTTGTAAATAATTGAGTAATTAAATTTATCTACCTATTGCATGAAAAACAATTTATTTAACAATTTGCTATGTATATTAAATTTATAAAGTTTAAGGTATATATAATTAAAAAATTCTATGTTGCATTATATACTTATCATAGTATGATATTATACAAACACCCCAATAACTACAGGGTTTCTATATAACAAAAGTACAATTAAAATAGATTACATTATTCTGAATACTTATCTACAAATTGTTTAAGTTTATCTACATCTTGGAGACCAACAATTCTATCTAAAACCTTTCCATCCTTCATTGCAATGAGGACTGGAACAGATCCAACCTATATACATAATTAATTCCTATTATATTCATTGAAATAAATAACCAAAGAATTTGTTAATTAATGAATAACCTCATAATCTAAAGCAAGATCGCTGTTCTCATCAATATCAACTTTTGCTAATAAAACTTTTCCTTGTTTTTCTGCAATTACTGATTCTATACGAGGAGTGAGCATGCGACACGGATTACACCACCTATAAGACGAATTACAGAAAAATTTAGACAATTATTTAATATGACAAGTATTCATTAGATCGTTTGATAGTATTTACGTACGTTGCAAAAAAATCAACAATCACAGGAACTTTAGAGTTTTTAACACGATCATTAAAATCTTTTGGATCTTGCACTTTGAAAGCAGTTGAGACTGCTTGTTCTTGAGCCGGTGCATTTGCAAAAGCTCTGCTTCCTAGAGCAGTACGCATTCTTAATCCAACTCGCAACATTTTAATTCTTTGTTAATACAAAATAATCTACGATGTATATCTACTGATCTATAATAATCGCGAATAAATTCTGATACGCAATAACAATTTGTTCAGCCCTAACCTAAATCTTTAACTCAAAGACTATATCGTACTGTGGATTGTACCAGGTTATGTACAGAGTAACCAACATTACAATATAAAAATAAATTCCCTTTTATTCTTCTACTTTATACGTTTCATTCTCGTAAAATCAGCTGGGAGACTTTTCATTCAGTAAATTAAGTTTGCGATATGGATCTACATCAATATACTATTTTATACTTCTATTTTACTACTTCTACTACTATTAAATACTACTGTACTATTTATAAAGCAATATATAACTAAAAATCTTCAACAGCAATAAATAATAATGTCCTAAAATTGCTATTTAATTTTTTTAAATAGAAATATAATCGAACAATTAAGAATTTTTTGCATGTTTTTACCCTTATAGTTCAGTGATTATTCACAATAAAATTTAATTATGTACAAGATTGTTTGCAATATCAATTCTTTTAATACACAATACTGTACAATATTAAATATTTTTATATGTACACTATTACAATTTTTTATTTATAGTTGCCTACTAATGAATTTGATGCAGTACAATAACAAATGGATCAGAGGATATTGTATGTCTTCGCGTGATGAATAATATATTGGTTTAATTATTGAATTTCACGCCTGTATTGAAATAACGAGCATGGAACACGAATGCTACGTATAGTTGTCTTCATGATATAGCGTAGTCCTAAATTAAAACTTCAAATAGCGGTGTCGATTGATGCAGTGATGCTTAAGATCGCTTGTCAGCATTCTACGTTTTTGAATATCTATTAAATCAAGGGTAAGCTATATTTCATGCGTTTCAAACTGAGATTTCGGATTATACACTTATATTATATACTTTAAATGATCTTATCTTGTAGATCGTAAAAATCATCTATACATTCGCTATTTAAAGATAAAGAAGGGTATAATATTTAGGAAGTACATATGACTTTGATATCTTTGAAAATTTTGCACTTAATAAATATTGACTGCAAAGAATTGGAAAAACCCAATAAAAATCCTTCACGTATGCATATATGGTTTTCTCCATAATGTATGTTACAAAAGAAAATAGTCATGCAAAATTTTCTTCTGTTTTGTACGCAGGATATTTATTTTATGAGTACACAGGAAAAATCCTTAAATTTGTAAAGTTTCGAGGTAAGGAGATTTTTACCTTCTATAAAAAATTGAAAATACATTACTGGTTTTTACAAATATAAATGAATTTATGATTTCAGATGATTTCGATGATAATGATGATAGGATATAAGTTATAGTTAAACATATTTTGGTTTTACGACATTTACGTCGTCGAAGAATCAGCGAAATAATTGAGAAGATTTTACTTCGATTTTGATGATTTTAATACAATTTAATTTAGAATTTGAGGGGACAATAGAATATAATTAATCATATATATACGATACAACACGATTAACAGGTGAAACTATATCAGATTGATTCTTTGACTTTGACTGGAGGATGAATCATTGCTGGCAGTTTTATTATACTCGTTACGTAAAATGAAAATCTGTTATACAATTGCGTGTCTTCGCGTTTTGACAGAGCGTACTTAAGAAAATAATAGATTTTCTCCATGGGAAAACTTCTAGTCGTGGATGAGTACGACACAAGAGGAAAACAATCGTTCTCTCTTTTCACGTTGGAATAAAATCGCGACGTACTTTCAATTACTTCATTATTAATTTCAATAAACACGATGTTTCATCAGTCACATCCTTAAAGTGCAACGATGAAGTGTATGATAATAAAAATGAAAGTTATTTGCGTGGATTCATTGGATTTTCCATGCAGTTAAGAAGTTTGCATTTTCATCGAAACTTGGTTTCATGATTTTTATCATTCAGATTTTGTACTATTTTCCAATCAACGAAGAAAAAGAAATCAATCGTGGAGGAGAAAACATTGAAATTGACTCGATGCAATTTTATGCAAGTAAAATGGAGAAAGTTGCGTAAGGATTGTGAAGCATCGTTGTACTATGATATGAACGACAACATTCCAAGATAGATGGCATTTTTTTAAACAACACAGCCGGTTTTCGTCTTCAAGGTCTCGCTTACTTTAGTCTTTGAATATTTTTTCACATGTTCATGTGTTTGCCTATTGCGTAAAAGCACCAAGTTATTTCCTTATACGTGCAACGACGACTGCTGTGGCGAAAATATATCATGGTAGAGCGACCTCCTTTAAAGTGCACTCACGTAAAGCCAAAGCTATGAGACGATTTTTCTTCGTACTTGTTTCTCTGTTGAATGTTTGATACCTAAAGTCCTCGATATTCATTTGCAGTTTCGTGTCGAGGACTTTTAAAGGATATTCTTGAACGTACCATAATTTGTGTGCGATTCTCGATTTAAAAAATAGGGCAACACAGATATGCGAGGATGTTATACATTTTATAAATTTCTCTTGTTTTGTTTATAGTAAAAATTAAATTATAATTTTCCCAAGGTGTGTCGTACATCTGTGGGTTTCAACATTCAACTCTTTTCTGCATAAATTTTAAAAAGTTATTTCTGAAAAAAAGGAATTGGAGAAGAAAATACTTTTTTTTGTTAATAAAATTGCGAATAAATTTCTTGTAAATTTATTATTTCAGACGAATTACAGTACCTGTTACTCCATCCCATTAATGGAGGGTTGAAAATGAGTTTTCGAGGATGGAATCGATCGTGAATATGGACTGAAATATTATTACCGGTTCACCAATCGTTGCTATATTTCCCTCGTCATTCGGTCGTAACGAAATCTGCTGGTGAATTGTCAGGAACAGGCAGCAGGATAGAAAACTGAAAAAATATAGAACGTTGGGGGGTTCTGAATGGAGAAACTCAGCCTATAATCGCACAGAACAGAAGGGCCAGGGGATCTGTAGCTGGAATACTATGTTGGGGTAGGAAAATAAAGGAAGAACCGTTGGTCGTTATGGTAACCGTCGATCTATGATTTCATCTAGCCGACATCATGCTGACTAGAATAGGTGACCCACTGCTCCCGAGAAAATGTGTTCTAGGTTCTACATATGCAAAGTTCCTTACGATCGAAGTATTTTAATCTTAATCAAACTAACATCGTGTCATACCGAGTATTCTATCCGAGAAGTTACGTGTTAATTCTATTTGTTCATGGAATGTTTCGTTTATCAGGGTACGTTTTCAAGGGATGAATTTTAAATTGAAACATCATTTGATTCCTGTAAAATGCAATTAACGATCAATACAGAATTTTTAATTCGTTTACTTATAATCGGTGGAAGTTAGTTACCTCGAAATTAGAGCTCACTGAATATTTCCCACGTGTTACATAGTCTCCCACGAAACGTCGTTCAATTTGATTAAACGGTCTGCGTTCCCTGGTGGAGCGTGAAAATCTCTGGAAGCGTCGAAATGTCTCTCCCGCTTTGGGCTTCGAAGCGGTAATGATCCAATCGGAGAGTTAACACGCCCAACGTTTGCAAACGTGCTCGTTTGTCGTATTATCACCAGCTAGTTGGTCAGTAATTTCCGACCAGCAATTTTGTCACGTGACGATGAAGAACGGAACGTGTCGATAGTGCATTTCTTTTAATAAAATGAATCTCAATCGAATAAAACCTTAGAAATGATTTTAAAATGACGTTTGAAAAATTACCGTACTTTTCGTAAGACACCAGGGAAGAGATTGAAAATCTGAAATATGTCGTGATCCGTCCAAAGTACATTAAAGAAAATTTAGAACACAGTCACTTGCGAAGAAGTTCCATACAGAGAGTTCATAGTCGTGATCGCTAATTGAGTGCGAAATGAGTTGAATCGTAAGTGAAAACGATTCTAGCTAAAGGCGTCATTTGTCCCAGTTTTACTCTTTTTTCTTTTTTAAGTTCGTTTAGACGTAACCTTTATGGTATATACTACGGAGATACGATTGGCAATCGAATGCTACGAAAACTTCTTATCACACGATGTGCCATGTATTATCGCCGTGCTAATTTCTCGTCGCATTGGTGCTAACAATATTATCGTGAAGCCGTCGCTTCGCTTTCCGTGATGTGTGACACTACGATCTGAATTATCATCCACCGAGAATATTGGAGAGATACGTGTCACTTCTCTGGTATTTCCACAATTAAAAATATCATGGAGATATTGATCTAAGCAATAAGCTTATCGGTTTGATATTTAACAAATATTTAAAAAGTATCGTAACAACTGAAATGGAAAAACATCAGTGTTATAGATTATTGAAAAATACACGAAAAAGTGTCACGGAAGAAATACTTAAAAGTTTCATTTGTAAAAAGCTTTTTTTCTGATGAAAGATATACTTTCCACTGATGGTATGCCTCACGTGATCTAAGAATCGCTTAACGTCGTCGTGCTTTCATTACTCTAAATTCTATGATGCCAACGACCAATGCCTGCGTGAAAGTTACCCTTTGTTCTCGTGGTTGATGTTCCACTCTCCACTTCCTTGTCTGTTAAGTTAATCAAATTACGCATCCACGATAAAGAGTAAAGTTGACATGAATTCGAACAGATTTGACACACCTCTTTAGCCACTGGTCGGCACTTGGAAATCATTTGAAAAGTTCAGCGGTTCAAAAACACCGGAAGCACAATTCTTGCGTGTTACTTCCGGTTCAGTAAAAATTGTTGCCCCAATGAAAATCACTGACCAATGATTTCACGGTTTTGGATGCTTAAAATCAAAGGTAATGCAGTGTGTCTGTAAAGTAAAGTTTGTATCAAGGAGGGAACCTCTAAATCCATTAAGTAATGAACAAGATTATATATTACCTTTACTCGTACAATTACTTTCTTACCGTGAGAAGTTCAATATCAATTTACTTGCATTAATTTATAATTAATGTAAAGAAAATTACAAGACATATCGACAATAAATATAAATTCCCCTTTCTAGTGGTAGACACGCGATGCCTACAACTCGTACAATATCCATTAGGTGAAGATTGGGAACGATAAGAAAGGCGATCGTCCAACAATCGGCTGATTTCAATCGAATATAGCTCTTTTCCTTGGTCTGACCTATTGATAGAAACGATACCGTTCCTTCAGCCCACCTTCCTCTTCGCGTTACTAATCCATAAACCACCTAGCTTCTCCTCCTGCTTCGATGGTGTTATTTTCATCCACGACGTACAGAGAGAACGTGGATTTTAGTAGGCTACTGGGAAACGGATGCGCAGGGCGCGGCCTTTGCCGATATGCTAGCTCGCACATTTATGCTCGTTAAATCAGCCTGACTTATTTCCCGCGCCATTTCCCATTTCTCCCGTTTATGGGCTTGCATGCTAACCGTGGCAGAATCAGGTCCAACACTTGGACAATACGTGGAATATTATTCATCGACCTTCGGCTCCGATTCCTGTGTTCCTAATATGAAATGAAGCACTGTAACCTTGCCTGAAGAAAATGTGATAAATAAATGATAACGAATTAAAATTATATCTAAGATGATCCTTAACAAAATTTTATCGCTGTATATAGAACAATTGTGTAACTTACATTTTTTATATAAAGCCATAATGCTTGTTATCGAGATGGTATTAAAATACGATGAAATTTCATAGATAGAAAAAGAAATAAGTAATCCTCAGATATCTTGTTAGTGGGTTTTAATACGGAAACTTTCCTATGATATACGAGTGCAATCTGACGCTATCGAGGATGAATTGTCCTGTTTCGAGCTCATCGAACTTTTAGTTTTGATGCAGAAGGGAAGTGAAGAGTTCAGATGGGAAAGAATCGGCCAATTGGGAAAAAAGGAATACTGTCGACTCTAACAGCAGGTTACCAATGGATGGATCCGAATAATTTCTTGTCGATGTCACGAGTAGCAAAATTTATCTCCATTGTGTTCGAGCAATTCGTCTTCTGTTCACATACATGGCGCTACATTAGCCACACGTGCTGTTTACGATTCACAGCGTCGAATCTTTGATGTAACGGTATTTCCAAGCCGTTGCATAAGCGTATTTTTCGATGAACTTGATCAAACAAATTTGAACTTTTGTCATTTTTAAATTTTCTTCTTATATTCTTCACAGGAAAGACATATAGATACGACTCAAAGTGAAAGCTCCACTGGGAAGGTTGTAGTTGATTGTGACCGTGAATATTCCGTGCCTGGAATTAGTAAGGAGATGAGTAAAGAGGAAACGAGCAATGAGTAAGAGGAATTGACAAAACATACGCTATACCGTGACACTACAATTCAATGGAAAAACAATCCGAATCTGTCCAGTTAACGTTAATGAAAATGAAGGAAAAAAGTGGGCCATGACACGGAATTTTCAGCCGTGAATGCAACCAACTCACAGAGGATGTGAAACTGCGTCGACGTACATAAAATCACAAGGCCGCTGATTATTTTCAAGCCTACGGACATTCGCTGTGGTATATATGCTTTCATAGCTCTGAATACATACAGTTGTGTCAACTGCGTTATTGCATAATGCTTGTGTTTATTAGCATATTAATCCTGGTGATTTTCCAGAAAGGTCATGTCAATTAATACATTAATAAAACATAACATAAATTTTTTTAGACTACAAAGAACTTAATAAGGTAATACACCAGGTTCGAACTTAGCGTACTTGAAATGTTAATTTATAATTTGAAGGATGAAAGACCTTACTTAAAATGCTAAGCTACGAGTGAGTCACTTCGATTCTTGGTTAACAATACCAGTTAGGTTATTGAGTCAATGACGATGGTAATTTGTGACATTCACATGAGCCAATAATATCTACATTGATACAATTTTATTGTGGATATTATAATTCACGAAATTATGATGATTCGAAGGAGGCTCCCTTCACCACATTTACAGACTCACCCATTATGATCTAGTAGGTGCCATGACGGCATCTCGAGAAAAGGATCTGCAAAAGGCTCGTGGAAGGCTACCAAGATGCAATGTTTACTCGAGAATGAAGATAGACGTAGGGAAACGCGTTGGACGGAAAATAACGATGATATTTAGCGTGCTTCTACTTCTTGTTCACATTCTTTGAATGTCTCGGATAACAATTATCATTTCGCAATGTGTTAATAATCAGTTTGTCAGGTAATATGGAAAAGTTTCGACCTGAAAAAGAAAAGAATATTTTTAGTAAAACTTAAATATATGTAAAAACGATGTTCAACTATACGCAATGAGAAAACCGTTAGGTGGTGAATAAAATGCAAGGGTGCTATTATAGTAGCTAACAATAAATGAGAACTTGATTGTAATACACGAGGAGAAACGAGTGTCAATTAAACGAACATTCTTGCACGTCCGTTAAACACTTCTAAGCTCTGAAAATGGCGCAGTATCTGCTGGTCAACTGCGACCAAATCGCATCGGCAATATTAATAAGTTATAAATTAGCATAAATCTGTAATTCCGACCTTCCCGTTAGCCCAGTTCTTTGCATGTTAATGCGGTGTGCTGATTCCCGAGACTCATTTGACTTCTCCCAATTATTTCCCTCAACTTGACCATTATTTCTATGTCTCAATCTGAAACACGAAATAGTCAAGATTATGTTCAGCTGTGTGCAATGTTTAAAAATATTTGTACATTAGGATACTTAGTGGAGTGAGTATAATCTTACCACTGATGCACTAATAGACAAGTCGAACTTGCAAATTTGAGACGTGAAATAGAAAGCGAATGTAACGGAGAAAAACAATACTTGGCAAAATATTCTTGATTTTTAATATTTAAAATCGTATCTTAAGAGACTTTTCAGGGTTGACACAATAATAATTCTTTGCAATATTTGTCAAAGAAACTATAAATTTCGCTTTAAGCCGAGATCAATGGACGATGAAACGAAAAAGGATTGGTCACTGAGTATAACGGTATAAAATAATGAACATGCCAATAATATCTACCATGCTAGTTGCTCGTGAAAGATTGTTAGGTTTACGTTAGACAGTCGCCTCATAAATAAGTCATACAGCATATATAAATTAAAATCGCAAATCAAGTATGATCTCAAAATACTGTAAAAAATCCAAGATATTCTAGTAACGTCTAAGCCAGGAAAATACACTGCTGAAAAATGTTTTGCAGATCTAAAATATCAGGAAACTTCGAAGGCATTTGTTTTTTACAACAGAAGATTGAAAAATATTCGATTCAACGATCAAGGCCATTCGAGTAATTCTATTCTACGATTGTGAAACATTTCTCTACGATTGACTAACGTCTGACTGATTGCGTTCTTATGACGCTTTCAGCATGAAACATATACATTATATAATTGTAGAAACGTGGCAAGCATTACAAGATGCTATAAAGCATGAAAACAATGAATAAGAATGGTCCTACGGATGTCTAGAAGTATGTAAGTACTTTGGTGACTATAATTCAAATGGTCGACACCTATTGCAGCTACGCTAGTATTGCACACATACTTTATTACTGTTATTATATTATGTTACACATCACAGGATCATGAGTCAACAGTTATGCCCGGTTTAACATCACAGTTGCATTATCCAATGAAACTTTTTTCATGAATAATAGCCAGCGATGACCTTCGTAATTTATCTAATTTTTACTCTTCTCTATTTCTCCTATAATTTAAAGCTGTACTTTAGATGCAACGTCATCTGATTATGTCTTTTATTTCGATCAGAATCTACTTTTATCAAACTAGTTGAAACGTAAGTCGAAAAGATGTTAGCTTTATAGACGATTCCTGTCACAATTCGTACACGTGTTCACGAATTCTATATCCATGATGAATTTTTATAGATACTGGAACGTCTGCCAAAACATTATTGTATGCTTTTCACGCGCGCCGCCGTTTCGCCTTCAAAAATACGACACGCATCATCTATTCATCGACCCGTAGAATTGTCAATCATACAGCAGTTACGATCAGGCCTATTTTTGAAAATTACATCAAGGTACCAAAGTTTTAATAGCTGTGTAGTTTCCCAAATAAGCATCTACGTCATTATATATTATTTTCCAATTGTATATTATTCTCCAATTGTAAGTCCTTCTTTAATAGAAAATAATGACAATGGTAAAAATCTGTCCTAGAACAAAGTAAAATGGTATTAAATATAAGATAAGTATAGTATTAAAATGATCAATTTGGTGAATTCTGGTGGATTTTTAAACACACCTAAAACAATCTCAAATATTCCAAAAATCTGATGGTAACGGTGTCGTAGACCATAGTGTGAGTATCACTTGCAACTGTTATCCGATGCATTCATTAATCTATTTTACTTGGTCGAGATCAATGGATCATGCAGTGAGAAAACTGATCAGCATGCGGTCACTTGGACAGCCATAAAGTATTAATATTGTGACCAATAGCTCGAATTGACACCTGTTTTGAAATAGATAACATTGCTTTTAAAATACACAATAACCAGAAGGCAAGTTTCTTCTATTACAGAGCTCCATTTACGTATGGTTAATTATAAATTCTATCCAACTTGTTCTTTCATTGCGTTACACTCTGATAAAACGTTCTTTCTTTACTAAGAAAAAAAACGAGTCCAACGAAATTCGGGGTAGCATAATTGTTCAAAGGGACAGTACGAAGTAGCGACCGTTGAATCGATTTTTTGGGATCATCTTGGGCAAGATAAAGCGACGCGTAGTTAGTCTTTTCTAAGCTCACCCTTTGCAGCGTTTCCTTTTCAAATAGATCCGGCTTTACAACACCGGTCCGAGTATCATTTCAGCCTCAACCGTCTTTCGTTTAGCCTAACAATGAATATAAGCGAAGAAAACCGTAGGATTCTAAGAAGGGTATTATTAATCTAATCAACAGTTGGAAATTGGCTGAGAATCATGGGTCAGTTTTAAACCAATGTACCGACTATTTGATTAGAATAAATTACGGCGGAGGAGAAAGAAATAAAGAGTAAAATATAAGTTAAATATGTTAACATTTTCAAAAGTTCTCTAAGAAGGAATTTATGATTCTTCGGTTTGATCGTGAAATTGCATTTTTCATTCGCGTCTTTAAATATTCATAGATCGATTAAGACAAGAAATCTATAATTGAGAAAAAAGAACGATATTGCAATCTCATTTTAGATCTTGGAACTGGAAAGATACCAAGCAAAAGTGATAATTGTGTAATTCGTTATGCGTGTTTTGGAGTAAATCAGCGTGAAAACGAGATTACGTGTATGCACTTCGTTATGAAACTAATCGCTTCGATAAAAAAACGAATTCAAAGTAGGATGCAAGAACCGCTCGCAATGACGAATACTGATTCAAAGAGGAATGTTAATTTGCATTTCCACGATGCATCATCGGCACGATTAAGTAGCTAAGCTACGTTTCACGTGGAGATTACGGGGGGATACCTTGCTGGGTGTTCCTGTTGCACACACATACCCACATGCATCTCTATTCACGTACAATTACACGTGTGATGTGTGCACGTGCACAAATGATCGTAGTGTGTAAATACACGGCGTCGGGTGGGGAGACGACGCTTCTCTAAGCGACGCTCCGCGTCTTCGTCAGTCAAACCGCGATCGTCTCCGCGTGATGGGCTGCCACTGAGACCATTTGCAGAACACAGCGACTACGTAATGGTTGGTGGTCAGTGTTGAACAGTCAATTGACAAAAGCGGGCCAACCAACACAGTTGGTACGCACGAAATATTCGTTACACCGGTTCGCCGACGAGAATAGACACTCTTCCGGATCCCTGGCGACACTTGCCGGGCCACGAACACTCCTGTTCCGGGTATCAGTTTTCAACTGGATTGTCAACGGGTCTTCGCCTCTTCCTGCCACGTGATTAGACTAAGAAAAGTGAGATAGATTGTGATAGAAGAACGTAAAGTGACCAAATAAAGTGTAGAAAATGAAGACTCTTGCATTCTTGCTAATCCTCATCACCGTGACAAGGTGTCACGATCCGTTCCAAGTGATTTTTCAGTGGAACACGATCGACGTGATGTGGCCAACAGAAGAAGAACAACAGTTTGCGATTACTCATGGCGATTACATTCCAGCTAATAATTTCATAGCCGGCATCAAGTTTTGGAAAGGTAAAATGTACCTGACAGTACCACGATGGAAGGAAGGAGTACCCGTGACTCTGGGAGTAACTTCAGCAACCCCGATGAATCAGATCACTGCTCCTAAGCTGGAGGCTTTCCCCAGCTGGGAGATGCAGAAAGTTGGTGACTGCAGTGCCTTCCAGATGGTCCAGAGTATGGAGATCGACCCCATAGGACGTATGTGGATACTCGACTCTGGAAGAATGTCACCTTTGTCTGTGGAGGTAAAAACCACTTGTCCACCAAGGCTGGTGATTCTAGATCTCGAAAAGAACGGTGAGGTTCTGCGAACTTACGAGTTCCCCACAGACGTGGCTCGTCATGGTACCGCTCACCTAAATGACATTGTCCTGGATCATGAAGATGGTGGTATGGCATATATTACAGACAGTGGCCGTGAGGATCCAGGTATAATCGTTTATTCCTTGAGAAACAATACTTCATGGAAAATTAGACACGACTCTATGAAAATTAAACCCGAAGCTGTTAAATTTATGATCTCTAAGAGCCATATCAATATGCCTATACCTGTCGATGGAATCGCTCTATCTCCAGCAAATAGTAAAGAAAGACAAGTATATTACTCACCATTGTCTTCGTTCCATCTGTACTCTATGTCAACGTGGGTACTGAAGAATAACATAGAAAATGTGGATGGCTACGTTAAAGAATTAGGAAGGAAAAATTCTCAAACTGATGGAATGGTTATGTCAGCAAAGGGGATACTGTACTTTGGTCTATTGGCCGATGATGCCGTGGCTATGTGGGATACCAAAATGTCTACCTCGTTCACCACCGGACAAAGAGTGATTTCCAGAGATCATGAAAGGATGCAGTGGCCGGATACATTTGCGTTCGATGAGGATGGTAACTTTTACTGTGTCACCAATTCCCTGCAAAATGTATTGAATAACAAAGTCAACATCAGTATACCGAATTATCGAGTAGTCAGAACAAGAATTGGAGTCAAGAACTATCAGTATTTGGAGAACGGAACTGCGCCAGAGCAGCCGGAGATACCCACTTCAGCTGCAAATAAGATTAACCTCGCCATGGTTACCGGATTAACTATTCTGTTGGCTTTCGTCATACAGTAACGTCTTTCTCCCTCTCTTGTTCCCTCGTTCTCTTGTCTTCAAATATGCTCGGGTATACCAAAGACATTCGTTTTATCCTTTCAGTTAGATAACATACAGACGACCCGTCCAGTGTTTTTGGTGGCCTTGAATGTTTAAAGTTCTGACCTTAGACGGTTTGCAGTCACGGCAAAAAGGCAGGGACCTAAAATTGCTTGGCCATTCGGGGTCACTGAGTACTATACCTCTTTATATTTTCTGCTTTTCTAGCGTTTTCATATTTTAATTTATTTCCATAGGTACCTATTTTTAAAGCATATCTGTTACAAATGTTAGCTGGAAGAATCATTGTTCCAGAAGATTGCTGAATCTCTATAAATGTAACTTCCATGGTGGAGAAAGTGGCCTTGAATGATCAAATGATTTTGGATAAAACAAAGGTTTTGATCCACTTTATAATCATGTATAATTTGTGAAGAAACTTGTAGATCGGCGTTGTTGAAGCAAAGCTGATGAATCCTACCAACCAAGGAATAATTGGATTATGCGATCACATTAAATCCGACAAGTAACAATTTAAAGTGAAACAGTAGATTTCTCGAGTTTCAAGACTGCCGAGAAACGCATCTACTCGATGTCATCTTGATTGCAATTGCTATCTTCGAGATTATCATCGAAGAGAAACGAGAACGAGATTGATCTCCGGCAAATTATCGATAGAGCTACCGATAAGCGTTTCTGCATAGTGGTCTTTATAGCGATAAACAATAACGTATCTATTTTTCTTTCCAACCTCAACAACGGCTTAATATTTCTGATTTTTAACTAAAATTTTAAAACGAAGCTATCAATAATAAAAACAATGTTTTACGGTAACAATGTACCTTCTACAAGAAGAAATCATACTTCGAAGCAACAGAACTTTCACTCCGAGCATTAAACATTAATAATTTTATCGGTGTTCATTTTCTGTACGTGTTATCCTGCTGTTTAATCAGGACACTTAATTGAATTGCAGAACGTTAACTCAGATCGCAGTAGCTGAGCAAAAGAAAATTACATTTTTATACGGCGCAAAACTTTCTCCGCGACACCATCGCATGAGCACTTAATTAACCTCGAATTAACATCGTCAATGAGGACTATTAAATCTGTCGGTCAAATTGAGATACTTTCAGTCCGATTACATGTCTTGAAAGGGAAATTGGAAGAAGTCAACCACGTTGTGCTTCTAAGTGTCGCGTGGAGGGTTGAAAGGAAGATGAATCATTTGTCACGACCGCCATGAAAGCCATTATCGATGATAGGTATTATCGATGAAAGTATCGGCCATCGAGGACTTGTCCCTTAAAAGAGAAAAAAATATCAACGAGCATGAGTTTAATGGGATCATAGTTCGGTGAGATAAAAACAACTCGGGAACTAACAATAGAGTTATGATAATGAATGGCATTGGTCATTTCGATTCGAGAAATTCATCCTCTGTAACGCGATATCGATAACATTCCATTCCTTGATTTTGTGTTTTAAGTCCTAAAATAATTGTGATCTTCCATACGGCACGTGCTACTTATTGTTTCTGTTTTTTAAATAAATTCGCGTTGAAATAAGTCAGGAAAAAGGCAACACAATAGCCTACACTGTTTAAATTTATTCGAGGCATCGAAATGTATATAATCCCATCATTAAAAAGGGCATTCGATGATATAAAAGCTAAATATTCAATCAAGTATTTGTCGAGTCTCTAATTACTTTAATCAGTGTGTGAACATAAATTACCAGCTTATTGTTTTATCGTGTCATGCATTAGCTTCTTTTTAGACACGGAACATACATATGTGGGTCACAGAGGATTCATTTCCAGAGAAGCGGTCATTTATTATCAGTCCAATACCGTATTAGCTTACGATGTCGACATGACGGTAATTGCTAATTATCTTTGTTATTTATGACATAATCGCTCTATTTGCAACTAAATTGTGCACGATGGGTCTTACGCGAATTTGTACAGATGCAAAGGAGCTACCTAATTTTGTCCCTTATTTTCTCGTTATTAACTGACTAGGGAAAAGGGAGAAAGACAAAGTTTGATGAATTTATAGTACCTTAGCCTTGTCGCCTTACGAATCAAACTGTGAATACGTATACTATACTATATGTATGTATGTATGTATGTATGTATAATTAATGTATACACTACGCATGTAACATGTAACGAGTAGCTTTAATACATATGGCCTTATTTGAGACGATGAATTGAAACTGTATACCGCGTTCCGTTGGAAAACGTGGCGTTATGAGTCATTTGTCTGTAACTGCTGGTGAACGCAACTTTCCGCCATTTCACGGCATTTATTGCTTGCAATTATTACTCCCTTTCACGATGCATCGGTCCTAACATCTTGTTAGAAATTTACATTGATTCTTCTTTTGCATAAAAGCATCTTTATCGTGCGAACGTTTCTATCATAAATTAGTAAATTAGACGAATAAAATATCGAGTCGTGTATGTCTACTACTGACCTGAAATTTAGGACTATCTTCACTGATACCGCATATTCAATACATAGGAACACAGTATGGAAAACGTATGCTGATAGTCTCCTAGAGCTTCGATAAAGCCTGAAAAATTATACAAAGTTTATTAAATTTTTAATTTAGTCGCTAACAGGAGGATAGTCTGAAACTTGTATTCAGTAGCACAGAACTATCACGTTCAGAGGCAGACTATTAAACAGATACAATGCCAGTGTGAAATGAATGTTTCATACGGCATAGAACGTGCCTAGAATTCGCGTTTTCAAGCGTATTTGCTAATTGAAGGAAAAGTACATACAACTTATCGAGAAGTTCCATCAGCGTCAAGTCCGACACGGTCGCTCGAAAAAAAGGAAACTCAGAGACGTTCGACGAAGAAGAGTCGCGGCAATCTCGCTTTCAGCCTCTCTTCCCACAATTGTCTTTTCTTTCAGCACACAGCGTCCCAGTTTTGCTGCGAAGTGAGCCGCACGCACATTATTACGCGTCACAAACGGAGCCGGGACCTAGCCCTGAACCACGAGTCAACGAACGCCCAGGGAGAGGCTCGGAAGATTACAAAACTGCGTCGAGAAAACTCACTGCACCTGAGATTAATTGCTCCAATCTGCGAATCATCGGTGAGCACCTGGTGCTTTCGGTTCTTTAACTTGAATCATACCTATTTTTCAGTTTGCTCAGTCCAGGATGAAGATCAAGAAGGAATATGAAAGATAAAGTTTCGGAAACCTTTAGCTTGCTGTTGATATCTTCGTGTCCTTTTGAGACGCTGTGCTGTTTGAAACATAAAGATATAAAGATTAAAACTTCTGTGATTATTTAAAAAATTGCTATACGATATTGCTATAAGCATTTGTGCTTTCTATACGTTTGTGAAAGAGAGGTTGATGGCAGTACAGGTGAAAAATATTTCAGTGAATCCATAAAATGAGTCATAAATTAAATATAGAAATGCAAATGACTAAGCTTCAAAACGAATGTCAACGATCAATTGCATTTATAACAAATGATATCATCGCACGATAAAGAAAAGTATCAAATGTCTTTCGAGACAGAGAGATTTTTTACAGATGGAATTCAGTGTTATACAGGACGGTTTCTATTCGCTCGTCGGATGATTAAGCGCTAACCGAAAAGTCCAGGAAGACCGGTCGACAAAAATTTGGCTAAAATTAAACACGTTACAGCATAATACTAACTAACTGTATTTAAGTGCCGATTATACATCGGCACATGTCGCGAATTGTATTAATTTAACCATCGAATTGGATGAAACAAATTTGAATGATGGACGAATATTAAGAACGTAAGATTGTATATTTAACGAACGATCAAGGAATGCAAATAAGCATTGACTCCGTTTGTTTGAAAAGCTTTGCTTGTAAAACATGTTCCACAGAGCTATACACTTAACAGCATGCTGTTCTTAGACAATTAATCAGTATTCGAGATAGAATAATATCATGAAATATCAAATTCTATAAACAGTTATAAAGTTACAATGGTTGATCAGTCTTCCGGAATTCTAGTCAAGAGCAGCCTTCGTGGCGCTTTTTGACAACGGAAACGGGTGTTGACAGTACACGGCAAAGTGTTCTATCGTACAGTAGATTTGTAAGTATGCTTTCTATTACGAGAGAGGCTGGTTGAGGTTTCGTTTGGTTTCGTCGAGGGTCTCGCTCAGTTGAACCTGATTACAGCTGACTTTCAGGTTGGAACGCTTTACATGTAATTGTAGTATCGTTTCCTGTTTATTCCATTCGCTTAAACCTACAAAGAAAAGTTACACGTTAGATAATGATTGATACGTTAACAATTCTGTTATGATAATGTTCGATCAGTAGATTTTCGAGAAACGAAACGAAATCGAACAGAAGTACGTTAATTATGTTATTTCGACGTCGTTCTACATATTAATAAATCTATACACTAAGAAGATTAATATATATTTTCTATAGTAGTAAACTACGCGGGGTGTTCTTTAATTAATGACACCAATAGTAATTCTGCGTGAAAAATAGAATGAATATGAAAACAAATTTTTTTGTACTAGTCTTTCTTTTTGTGAAAATTAATTCTCAAAATTCGTCATATATATGATAACTTATAGCAGTGAAAGTTATTTTTGCAAATAGAAACGTATGATCAGTCCCAATATAAATTATCTTGATACTTTATGAGAGATTTATACGAAAAAATTTAATTTTTCACGTAGAATTGATCATTGCTTGTGGAACACCCTGTACAATGCATAGTGTAGAGGTACATAAATTCAAGTGAAAGATGTATCATCGCTCGTACCGATAATGATTTATTACTTTGTGTATTAGAGTGTAATGTCGCTATTATATAGTGTTTATGTAAATTATGTCTTATTAATAAAGAGATAGATGTTAACAGTCCTTGAATTCTTTCTTCGATTATCACTTTAAGTAACTCTTAATTGTAAGTTACATAATTACATCATATATGATGCATGCTTCGATAAATATCTTACTTTATTTTTGCTAGTTTCTTTTTGTAATGGCATTCATAAGACCAATTTTATTTTTTATCAAATCTTGTATACATCAATATCTCGAATAATTCGAAAAATTAAAAATTCTGAAAAAAGAAACTTGATGTTAAAAATAAAATTATGGTTGAAAATGAGATGAAAACAAAATTGTTCGCATACACATGATGTTATAATCTAAACTATGGTAAGATTACTATAGTAATATAATTGAAAATAGAAATTATATTCTATAAACTCTATTCAAATTTTAGTTCTACTTTTCCGACCGAACGCTGAATATTTTCTAAGTTCCTTGGTAGATGACGCTGAGCTTAACGCTGTTTTATCTGGCTTGGTACAATCGATAATAGTAGGTTCAATTTGTAAAACAGAAATACATAACAGAAAGTTTTTAAAAGTTTATGAAACATTATCAAAATAATATCAAGTAGAAAACAATTCTTTTTTATCTGCTGTTTAATTACGTATCTTCTTTTGAAAAATCGTAACATATCAATTTAGTAATATATTATTCGAAATCTTACAAATATACGCTATATAGAACCTCGTAGATAAAAAACGATATCTTATAATTAAAAATAAAATATAAATTTAATGAAAAAATAACTATACGAGTATACATCATTGATCTTCTTTGAGGTTAGAAGATTACAGTCTGTTCAAAATCTAATCTGATTGATATACTATCATTGATAGACAATGAAGCTATAGAATAGCATTAAATCTGAATGGGTCACGCAACGAAGGAATTATCAGTTAGCGGTCTTGCTTTTGCAAGCTACCGGGAATACGATTCCAAAGGGATGTATGAATACCGTGCGCAGCTGTTACTTTAGGGTGAGAGGGGTTAGGAAAGCGGGAACTTCAGGGACGTGTACAGTTTCCTGCAGTTCCAATTGAAGTAAAAAATTTCCAAAATAGCTTTTTACCTTTAATTTAGATAAACGAATGTTAAAGCAAAATAAATATGTAAAATTTGTAATTGTTGACATTACTTTATAAACAAAAATAATATTTTTTACAAGCAATAAAACTTGAAAAAATTTTCATTATCGTGAGCGATGAAATATTAAATTCTATGCGATTGTAATTGATAAATCATAAGTTATTTGACTATATTATTATAGATAACAAAATAATTTGTATACAATAATAACTACATAATACATTATTTACTTACTTGAATTTTATCTATTTTATTTCTAAGCAATACCGTAAATCCGCTTTCTACTTTCTGAACAATGTAATCAAAATGACAGTTTAAAATAACGAATGGTTTTAACCGCGAAATTTAAACAGACAAACGACGCAACCAATCACAAGTTAATACGCAAAAGTAGAAAACACATTATTGGCAGAAATCTGTTATTTCGATATTAGATTAAATCTGTTTTCAAGAATCAAAATCACGTACGATTCGTCAATCATAAAATGCATTATAGGTTAATGAATATTGAAATCTCGTTAGACATTGTCAATATTTTTCCAATTGAATGTTTATGAAGTATGAATAATGCATTCCCTTTTCCATAATTTTACATTTAAAAATAAAAAATAGAACAAAAATTAAAGAACCTTTAGTTCCCTTAAGATAGTCGTCCCTGAGAATGTTCTACAATTAGTAGTGGGGGCAAAGAGGGGCTGGCTTGTACCGGCGGCGCCTGCAGTGACCGGCTGGTGTCTGTGAGCACCCGGGTGTCAAAAACGTGGGTACGGAAACTCGTAAGATTCGAAGTGATACTATTCATGGAAAAGCTTAACGTATTTGAGCATTGGTGGTTTGCACGTTTCTCGTTATTATAAAGAAGTATCATATCTATTTGGTCGGTCGATCTCACGCGTTTCTAGCTTGATCTGTCTGCTTCTCCTCTTCCCCTCAACCGTCTGCCTCTAACCAACGGGGGACAGATCGGTGTAGTGTGACAGCGATCGACTGGCTACGACACTGCACAGACAACCCTTGCGCTCTTTTTTTCCAAGGCTCACGCGGTTTTCCATGTCAACGACACGCGCGCTCCTGCCAAGGCCAGCGTGCTACGCCCCGCACAGAGTAGCCTCCGTCGTCTTCGTCGTCGTCGTTGCTGCTGCTGCTGCTGCTGCTGCTGCTGCTGCCGCCGTCAAGCAGCCGCTCCACGTAGTCGTGCTTGTTGTTGACGACCTATTGTTTGCATTGCGTCGGTGGTTATATCTCTGTTCGTCGTGGTCATCGTCTCGGTGGTTAGTTTCGAAAAAGGCCGGCGAGCATCAAAGTTTCTGCACGGCTATTACCAGGGTGAAGAGAAGGAAACACGGCAGCGTCGCTCACGCCAGCCTGAGATGAGCGACCATGGCTGCATACACTTGAATAATTTCAAAGCAGCCAAGGGTATCCAGCCGTACAAAGTGATACACTCCTATTTTGTGACCAGCACGTCGACCGAGGCACGCGTAAGAAAGGTGCGACTATCTTTTTCTTACGTGATCCGTGGTCAAGGTTCTATCTTCGTCTCGCTCTATCTTTCGTTTTCACCTCTACTTTCTATATTGTGTTGTGTTTCTTCTGTTTCTCATTTTCTATCACATAATCATACTCTACGTATTATATTTATTTGGTATATAATAAAATAAATGATTTAGAAAAATGAGAAATTACAAAGAACATTCACAATCTCATAAATTGCGAGATTATTCTCTTTCTTTGTCGTTTGTGGTGCCATTCGCGTTCTTAAGTCACGGGCTATGCAAATTCTAGACAGAATGACAACTCAATTTGCAAATGCGTACATATTGTTTATCACTCTTTAAAAGTAGTGACATGCTTCTTTTCTACGCATTCATGCATTTAGGACATTTACAGGGGTAAAATATCTGCCAAAAAATTTAGTCTTCTATACGTTATTTATTTGTAAAATTATTCTGTCTTTCATTTTGAATATGACGTTTAGTTTCAACGATCGGTTTCCATCTGTGTGATTTGAAAACATTAAAAAATTAGGTACGCATTTTATTGACTTATAAAATGCTTAATAATAATTTCCTCTGTATTTCTTTCTTATTCTTTCCTCTTTTTCATCTTTTCTCTTTTCTTGGAATAACCTTTTATTATTATTATTATAAAATGTTTCCGTTATTAAGATTTGAAACAGGTTAATTTGAAAATAATCTTTTTAAAATATTTTTTGAATTAATAATACTTAAAACAAACTAATTGAAATTAATCCTCTAAATGGTTATAATAATTAAAATATAAACGAAATTGACGATGTAATTTGTTTGAATTTCTATTGTTACTTTCATGGACGATTTATCTGTGAAGATGGATTTAAAAATGGCCGCCGTATCAATTACTCTACCGGTATAAAGTTCTAGCAGATTTGTTACTCACGTAAAGTAACGGTATTATAGATTTATGATTCTACTGATACCGTTGGACCAATAAATATATTTGCATTGGCCTGTAATCCAATGTAATTATAATGATGTTTTATTAAATAAATTATTCCATCTTACTTTTTGTATGAAATAAATATATATAATAATATTTCTTTTCTAGAACTACTTTTATCCAATCTATATATACACACTTTAGTTTTATACATTTTTTACTTTATGTATATGATATAATAAATAAATAATTTCTATATTTTTAGGCTGTTAGTTGTTTATGTCATACATGTAAGACCTATAAAGACCGCCTACATTCTTGTCTTCATTGTATATTTTTTGGCTGCTATGTAAAAGGTCACATACAAGAACATGCAAAGACAAAAAAGCATTTTTTAGGTAATTGAACATAAGTTACATAATATATTTTGTATATAAAGTAGATTAAGCTATTTTAATATATTTTGACAATATATGTATTTTATATTATAGCTGTTGATCTCTGTTATGGAAATATTTTGTGCTTCCAATGTGGGGATTACGTATACGATAGAGAGTTATTAGGAGTTGCTAAATCACAGTGGAGTGAATCTGCAAAATCATTAAGCTTTGGAGAATTTTATCGAGCATGGGAACCAACACAGATAGAGGCAGAATTATTAAGAAAACATCCACGCAGAAGACGTGTGGTCGAAAATTCTACTATAGGTAGAATATAAAAATATGTACATGAAATATGATTTGTAGTTATGAATAAAAATTTGAAGTATATTAATTGATATTTTATGTTTCTAGGTCTAAGAGGGCTTATAAATCTCGGAAGTACATGTTTCATGAACTGTATCGTGCAAGCACTTATACATACACCACTGTTAAGAGATTATTTTCTTGCTGACCGTCATCACTGCCCGCAGCCGACACGTTGCCTGGTCTGTGAAGTGTCCCATCTTTTTCAGGAATTTTACTCTGGTAGCAAAGCACCACTGACGCTTCACAAACTTCTCCATTTGATCTGGACACATGCTAGACATTTAGCAGGTTATGAACAGCAGGATGCTCATGAATTCTTTATAGCTACACTCGATGTTCTGCATAGGCATTGTGAAGCAGCACCAATCTTAGTGAAAGATAATCCACATCACTGTAACTGTATCATTGATCAAATATTTACTGGTGGATTACAAAGTGATGTGGTTTGTCAGGCATGCAAGTACGATCGAAATACATAATACGATTTAACATATGTTGTATTATAAGAAAGACTGTATTGATGTAATAATTTTTTAGCGGAGTGTCTACTACGATAGATCCATTCTGGGATATATCTTTGGATTTGGGTCCAGCCGCTAGTGCATCGGGTTCGGATAGTTCTGGTCCTCCTACCTCGTTATTAGATTGTTTGGAAAGGTTCACACGTGCAGAACATTTGGGATCTAGCGCAAAAATAAAATGTAGTAATTGTCAAACGTATCAAGAGAGCACGAAGCAATTGACGATGAAGCAACTCCCTATCGTGGCCAGCTTTCACTTAAAACGATTCGAACACTCTAGTATTCAGGATAAGAAGATATCTACGTTCATCTCGTTCCCAGAACAATTAGATATGACACCATTTATGTCACATAGACGAAACGGTAATAATAACAGTGCAATGATAGATGGACTGCCAAAGAATGGAGAAGACATGGCATTTAGCGACAATAGATATTCTCTATTTGCGGTAATAAATCATGAAGGATCTTTGGAGACTGGACATTACACTGCTTTCATACGGCAGCAGAGAGATCAATGGTTTAAATGTGACGATCATTTGATCACGAGAGCAAGATTAAAAGACGTCTTGACTAGCGAAGGGTGAGTTCATGGCATTGTGATCAATGCCATCAGTATCATTACCAAGGATCCAGTGAAACAACCTTTCCTTTTCAGGTATCTCCTTTTTTATCATAAACAAATTTTGGAGTATGGTCGAAACACCAAGGTGTAAAACTTTAGATTGTGTAATTAATTTATTTATCACGATGAATCATGGGCGATAGATTTAAGTTTTCTTTAGCATGTTAAAAAAAGAGAACTTTATAAACAGCTAATTCCTTTCTGGAAATTATTTCATATGTTCTCTTCGACTTACGCGAATTTGCTTGTTGGTCGGACGTGCATAATCTATGCGACAGGAAATAGAAATAAAGAAATGGAGGCCTCAAAAAATGGAATTTCAAACTTTCGTTTGAAATGATATCTTTAAATGTGAATATGGACGAAGATTTAAAAAAAATTAGAAAAAAGAATTTAATGAATGACTCAACTATTATGCTTTGATATTGTGCGATTAAAAAACAAGAAAAAACTAGAAACTAATCATTAAATCGTTAAAAAAAAATAGTCAAGATCGATCGGATGTCGCTTTGTTAGCATAGGTATTTCTTACGATGTTAAACAAAACTTTTAATCGTCAACTTTCAAAACGTGAGAATGTAAAAGAATCGTGTTCGTTTTGTTATATTTTATCATTTTCTTTCACCGTTGTGTTAATTGCGTTCGACGAATCTAGGCTGGCGCACACGGCGATCGATTTCCCTATTCGTGTCCTAAAGTAACATAAGTGTAATTTTAAGATTAGCTCAATTTTTTTAAATGACCGATCGCATTTTTGTATATCGCTGACTGTTATTATATTCCTGCCCTGACACTTGTATACATGAGACACCAAGGATGGATCACACGATTCGAAAGTATTCTAATTAATAAGTTCAATCTTTAGTAACGATTAAATTAAGGAACCGTTTTATTCACACGATTCGTCGTGTCAATCATCCTTTGGTGAATCAATTTTGTACAAACGAAGTAACATATAGCAAAAAGGAGGGTAATACTATTATCCGTATACAAGGCGAATTATTTCGCACGACTGTGTATAATAAAAAAGATCACTATTTGACAAATTTCTTTCTGATTGTCCGTTTTACCTTTTATTTATTTATTTTTTTTAATTGGATGATTTAAGATTTAATAAATTTCAAACGAAAAATGAAATTATTTGGAAAATCATTTCTTGAACTTCTAATAATTTTTTGTTAATGTTCTAAATAGCAGTCTCTACAAAAAGTGCCAAGTGTTCACTGCACTTGTAGTTTGTAATTGTGTGCTTATAGTTGTAGTAGTTCCCTATTTTGTGATGGGTTTCTATTATTGTGTTCATTAAAGAAATTTTTTGTAATGTTTCCACAAACATTACAGAAAATAATCTATGATGATTAAAATATTACCTGAGAGAAAATGATTGTAAACACGTACTTCGTATCGTGTCACCCAATTAATATTTTAATCAAAAATGATTCGCTTACATGTATGTAATAAAAATATACAATTTTCTGTTGAATTGTAAAGATCGCCAAAAGATTTCAATGTGTAATTATGTATGGAAGCATCAAGAACTTAATTTTATTTGAGAAAGATGAGGAAAATGTATGAGGAAAACAAGAAAATAGACATCGTAAAGTTTTATTGTTGCATGCGTCGTATAACTGCACATGGGCGCCCATTCTCATGATGTATCACGACCAATACTACTATACGTTTGGAAGTTCGTATTACGCGTGCAGTTATAACATTTTGTATAAGGCTGAAATAAATGTATACAGAAATAAAGTTATATTTCGTCGAGCAGTTGTTTTTCATCTTGCTTAATTTATATGCGCCACTGCGCGCTTCAATTAAAATTTAAATTTTACTATCAACTGTATCAAGTATTGTACATGCAGATAAGTTTATTACACATGATGCAGTTTAACTATAAAACGATATATATGTAACACCTTTGTTGAATTATAATTATCGGATTGATTTTCAGATAAATTTTTAATTCACAATAGAAGTTCAAATTTGAATCTTCAGCCGCGAATGTTAAATTAAAAAATTTATAAAAAATATAAAAAGGGAAAAAAGTATTTGGTGAATACCAGAAAATAAAGAAATATTTTTTATAATCTTCTTAAACCAAAATATTAATTATAATCTGATATTGTATTCTTTTCAATTAACGTTGTAGTAATGGAGGAAAGATGGACGCCTTGACGTTTGGCTCTCACAGGTAAACGGCCGATCGATTCACATAAATTTTCAAAAAACTTTCAATTGAGTAAGTGTCGCATCACAGAACATTATTCTTTCTTTTGTAGGCTAGTTCACTTAGATCTCAAGGGTGCTCCGCCGCGAGTCTGTTATTTCGAAAAGGTCTGTTACCCGAATAAACAATCGTATTGTTTACACTTTGTATCTCTTTTTTGATAACAGTGTCATTCAAATAAGAATTACAATGATACTTCAATTTTTCTACAGCTTGTCAAATGTTAAAGACGTTTGATTTTTTCATATGGTTGATACTTCTTTTATTTATGATAAATATCTGCATCCTACTATGAATTCGAATACGTAATGCAGCACGATTTTCATATATAGATCTGTTATATTAGTAAATGATAATCTGATCATTAAAATGTTGTAATTAATATTGCAGTTGTTCCCATTATTAAGAACATGGGGTGCCACTGGACTCTTATTGGAATGGGAAGATACATTCCCATACAATCGGGAACTTTCACATATAGGAAGCAATGGATTGAGCAATTTAATCAGTGGATATACAATTCAAGAGGCCAGGCATATCTTACAAATTGCAGGAGATTGTGGTTTAGCAGTTGTACCCTTAGTACAAACATTTGGTCATATGGAGGTATTAAACATTAAAATGGAATTATAATATGAAAACTTTAAATTTAATATTAAAATTATTACAGTTTGTTTTGAAGCATGATGAATGGAGGTCTTTGAGGGAAGTAGAGCACTTTCCAAGCTCAATTTGTCCATCTAATCCAAGAACATTGCCTTTGGTAAAATCCTTGATTCGACAAATAGTTAGTTTCCATCCAGATATACAATATTTGCACATAGGTGCAGATGAAGTGTGGCATTTAGGTCTTTGCTCAGTTTGTATAAAACGTGCTGCATCTAGCAAATATGGAAAACCATCTCTGTACCTGGAACATGTTTTGACTATTGCACAATATGTACAAGAAACATATCCCTACTTAAAGATTATTATATGGGATGATATGTTAAGATCAATAGATGTACAGGTTTTGAATGGTATTTTGATAATTTATCCATATTATTCCATGCTACATATTGTCTCATAAAAATACTTCCTATAATTTTCAGATCATTACATTGGGAAGTATGTAGAACCTATGATCTGGCATTATAATCCTAGAGATAATTTTGCTTTACCTCATGGTAAGATTTTTATTCATATGAATATTGATATTTTTGTATTGTAAGACTATATTCATAATATCCATTAGAACTGTGGGATAAGTACACTGCAGTTTTCCCCCATATTTGGGCAGCTACTGCATTTAAAGGTGCTACTGGATCTTCTCAACATGTACCAATCATAAGGCACCATATAAGCAATCATGAAAAATGGTTAGAAGAATTAAGTATACATGCGAATAAAGTCCATGAATTTCGGGGAACAGTCTTTACTGGTTGGTCAAGGTAATTTTTTTTACATTCGTAATTAAATAAATAATTTCATCAACTTTTGATTTTAGGTATGATCATTATGCAACATTATGTGAATTATTGCCTACTGCAATACCATCATTAGCATTATGCTTAAAAGTTTGGCTTCATGGTTATTCTGAACAAGTTCATAACCAAGTAGCTAAGACTTTAGGGTATATAGATCATCCTCTTCATATAACACCACAACCTAGACCAGCACCAATACCTAGCAACTTACGTTTCCCTGGGTGGCCAGTTGCAGTAGGAGTAGAATGGTTTTTAAATTTTAGAACTAAATTTCATAATATTGTTTCTAGTGAGCAGTAAGTAAAAATTATATCAGAAAGGGGATTCTAATATTTTAATTCCGATGTTTCCTAATATTTAATATATTATATTTATTTGATAGAATATCCACTTGGATGAATCCATGGCAAGTCGCAAATAATTACACAAATCCTATGCAATTAGAAAATTTAGTACCCGCTTTTACGGAGTAAGTTGATACATTTCTTCTCAATAATTTGAGTAAATGTTACATGAAATTGAAAATATTTTTTACAGGCTATTGCTAGAATTATCTTCTTTAGAAGGATATTTAAAATTTCAAATGGAAAGTATTTTCTTTCCATCAATGATAGATGAATGGATAGGTACAAATATTCAGCCCATGAAAGGGAAACTTATGGAATTAAAACAAACCACAGAGAATCAAATTAAATTAAATAGTCGAGTTTAGTATTTTAAATAAGTATTTTACAGAATTTCTGCTTTAGATCTCAATGACCAACTTCAATACAGGTGACAAAACGATAGGCTGATGAACAAAGTACGAAAAAAATTTAGTAAATTATAAAATTTTATCTCGTAAGTAGATGTAGTGAAGTAAAAATAGATATTAAGAAGTGATACTCCGTGCAATATGCACAAGATATAATTTTATAAGAGAAGGAATGATTATTTTAATACTTGGCTTAGAGATGAATGAACTTGTGGCAATGATTTTGTCACTGAGCTTTGTCATTTTGTGAGCTGTTCTGTGATACTTGGCTATGAAAGGATTATTGTAATGTAATTAAGCTCAATAGCTATATTTCTTGGCTATTGTGCTTACCACATATGCTTCTAACTATCCGCATTTCCTATTATATTTATAGCATGTGCAAATATTTTTTGTACTCGATTAGGAATATCTCTTTGAATATTTTTCAAAAATTATATTAATCACCTGTAAAAATATTTTATGCAATACCTAATATATTTCATGGAATCTTTTTTTATCATTAAACTTTTAAACTAATCTGATAATAGTTTTTTGAGCATATTCGTTGATTCAATACATTATCCATGAAATATAGTCACAGATTGAATGTAGGTGAAGTATAAGTAAAAGTGATAGTAATTAATAATGAATTTGAATAAATATTTCTGTGTATGTATATAATAACTACACAATATGTGATTTTGTTTTGTACGACTCAAATTACTCTTAAAATAATCTTAATTATGAAGCAGAAAAACATATTTTGCATCATTTTTCACCTTCTACAATCCATGGCCTATGCGTATTCACATTCGAGACAAAAACAAAAACGGCGAGTAATTAAAAGGCAAAGATTTGTCAAAAGATGCCTTCTTTTAATCTATTTCATATAATATTTTTGGCTAAGCAAGTAGAATAGTGGCAAGTGTAAAAGAACATGCCAAAAATTATAGAGTGTAGTGGAGAAGCTATGAAGTTGGACGAATGTTTCAAAGAAACTTTAGCTCGTGTTAGACCTTTCGTTTTTGCATTAACATCCGCCGAAGCTGCACAATTGTGTAAAGTTTGGCTTAATAAGCTAAATGCTGTTTCTGCGCAACGACGTCTAAGAAACGAATATCTCACGGAATTATTTAGGCAATTAAAAACAGGTCGCATTGAAGGAATTTTCAGTAGACCTCCACCTAATGGATTCCTTCTACCATTACCTAAGTCGTATCATATGGTACCTATATTAGGATTTATGAAATTTATCGTAATTATAGAATAATTACGTGTAATACAGGTCTGCATTAGTTCATCTGTAAGTAATTTATCAGATTATACCATGAGATCTCACCATAGTTGTTTAAAGCCAAATGCAAAGTGTATACAGCATCAACGAAGTAAAGCATTATTAAAACACCGTATGATGGATATTGAGAGTATGAATCAATGTTTGCATGTTATAAATTTTTCACCAACTATTCAATTTCATAATCAAAGTACTGTAACAAAAAAGGTTAAGTAAAAATTTATGAGCAATATAATAATATATTGAGTACTATTATTGCAGAATTACAAACTCAAAACAGATGTCTAAAACATCAACTGTCAGAATACCCAGAAAAGTATGATAAAAATATAAATGACGATTTGTTTTTGAGCATTAGTAAATTAACTACCGATGTTACTACTTTAAAAGCTAAGTTAGTATGTCATTAATTGTAATTCCAATGAAGTAATAGATTTTAAACATTTATAAATTGTTAAAGGCTAAAAGAGATGCAAAAGTTGAAAAATTCTATGGATGAAAATTTCAAAGAGGCTGTTCAAGAATACCATTTCACAGTAATAGAACAACTCACTGAATTAAAACACCAATTGGATGAGTCTCGTTTGAAAAATGAGGCACTAGACCATAGTATAACTGTCATAACTAAAAAGTTGGAGCAAATCATCCATGGTAAGGTAAGAAGTAGAAACCTTGACTGTAAAGTGAGAATTATAATATATATTTTGAAGGATGAGGATAATAAGGCAATGGAACAACAATGGATAAATAAAATAAATATGATATGTGAACGATTTGATTCATTTACAAAAGAGAAGAATAAAGAATTACAATTGAAGCAAGATTTACTCAACAAAAGTGACATGGAATTATTAGAAAAGGAGGCAGGAAGAAAGGAAGAAATTGAATTACTAACTAATAAAATACATGATTTGGAAACAAAATTGGAAATGAAGATTAGAGATGTATTGCTTTATAAATTATTGAATATTTCAATGTACTTATATTTAAATATATTATTGAATAGTACTATGTTCCACTCAGGAAGATAAATTACAGACAATGGTAGTCGAGCAGTATACATTGATGAAAGAAGAATTAAATAAAATGAGAACTGAAATAGATTATAAAACTCAAAAACAAAATCAAAGTTTAATAAATCAAGTTTCTGTTTTGAAAAAGGCTATCTTAGAGCTCGAAAAATCGAAGGAAAAACTCGAGTATGATTATGAAAGGAAATTGTTATACATAATTAAGGTAAATTAATAGAGATAATATACTGTTACGAATTATTGTTCTATATTATGTTATACTATAGAACAAGGACATGAAAATAAATGCTTTGTATTTACGGTTACAAAAACAAAAAAATGAATTGTTCACATCTTTAACTACAAAGAAACAAAATGAAGTGGACAATATAGTCTCTGTATTAGAGAAACGATATAAAACACTTTTGGCAGAAACAGAAGCAATATCAGAAACTAAAACTCAAGAGTATCTCATGGTACTATATGTCAAATTTTATTTAGAAGTAGGATAACAATGTACATAATTATATTAATAAAAGTTACTGAAACTTTTAGAAAATAGCTATTCTTGAAGATCAAGTACTTAATATGAAGAAATGTGACTCGAGCTTATAAGATAGTGAATCACTTAGTAGTTTATAGCACACGGTAATTATGTAATTGTATATTATATTTCTCTTAATAAAGAATATTAAAGACAAGTGTTTATCAAACTTTCCCGGTTGTTAAATATTTCTATTAATTAATAACAGATGGCAGTAGTTGCTTGAATTGCTAGAATGAAAGATGGCGTTAGGCGTGCATGTTGCTATGACAACATTTTGTCAACTAAGTTCCAAGCTGTCAAATATGACAGAAAATTTGTTTTTAGTCAAAGTTTTTAATAGATACTAAACTTTGTGTAATATTTATATATAATACACTCCTTAGTTGTATCATAATTTTTTTATCATCGAAAAATTCTTAATGAATATACACTTTAAAAAGAATTAATGAATATGTAGTTGGAAAGCTTCGATTATTTAGTACTCATTTTTAAAGAAATAATTCTAATTAGTAAATTTTTAAATAGTTATGTAAATTTATACGTTATTTGTGATATTATTGATAGTGAAAACAAAACAGTTTAGAGATAATGTCACTTTACTTCGATACACGCGTACAAAATCCAGAAACAGCTTCGATAAGTACTCACGCAATTTGGCACGTTAATTATCCGTTATTAGCTGTTGCCGCGTATTCCCAGGATAAAGGTGGTTTTGTAACAATCTATGATGATCAAGGTGAACCTACTCAGGATGTAGAATCACCTAGGCATTCCATAGCTCAGGTAACTGCACTTGGATGGCATCCAGAGAGACGATGGCTTGCAGCAGGATGGGAAAGTGGAGAATTGCGGGTCAATAAGTTTTTTCAATTTAAAAAAGATGCTTTATAATGATGTAAATAAAAATATATTTTTGTAAATTATTATTTAGGTATGGCCAGGTGATACCAGTAGCACTGAATTTAATTTAATAGTTACACCACATCGTGATTCTATTACAATCTTGCAATGGAGTCAACATGGAGGAAGATTGGTATCTGCAGATTCAGCTGGATCTATAGTAGGCTGGAAAATTGATTCAAGAGGTCAATTGTTAATGATGTTTCATCATGAGTTGAAAGATTCTTTTACACAAATAGTATTTAAAACTATTCCATCAAAGTCAATGATGGATATAAGGTAAATGTTAAATGTAAAAATTATATCTTTTTCATTTTTATTAATAAAACTAATTATGAATTTTCCACTATTTTTAGTAGTTTAGCAAAAGCTGCAGTTGCAGGAGATGAAAGAGCACTAGATATATTCAGTTCTTGGCGTCCTAGAACAGCTGCACCTACAACAGTGGTAGCACAAAGAGATAATCATGCTTTCTATATTGGAACTACTAGTGGTGTAATATATTTTGTTGATAATCAGGGACAATGTACAGAAATTTTAAACACAAATGGTGCAGCATTACAGTTTTTATTGCACCATCAAACGAGAGATTCTCTAATTGTTATGACAGAAGGTTTAAATATAGGACATTTTCAAGCAGATCCTATTACTGGCCGACTGATAGAATTAACAAAAGTGATTAAATTTCTTTTTTCATCATTTTACAGTAATCAAATATAGTACAACACAAAATTCTACAAAAGCGTTTTTTTCAGGTAAAACTCAGCAGTAGGTATGATATATTGCGAACTGGCCCAGCAATGTGTTGGGCTGGAGGAAATACTTTAGCAATTCTTACAGGAGAATTAGCTGTTCGTTGTTGGGACCTTCATACTAGTGATAGCTATGTGTTGTCTCCACCAGACTCGACTACCGGAAATATTGCTACACCACAAGAAATCTGCACAAGCATATCTTTTTGTAAAAATAACGGTATTATAAATATTTTACTTTTAAAGTAATACACGTAGAAGTAAGTACATTATTCGTTTATTAATGTTAATATTATATAGGTACTTTAGCTGCTGGAACTAATTTGGGAACAATTTATTTATGGAAACGTAAAATTGAAACGGACTGCGATGAAAATAGTTGGCCTAATGTACCCGAATCTTGTAGTATTCACGGAACAGTAAAACAACTTACATGGGGCGCAACTTTTCTAAGAAGTCCACTTCTTGCCGTAAATTGTATTACTAATGTTTTTATATTATATCAACAACCAATGTGTGCTACATATAATGATGATGTTTGTGCTAGTCAACTCAGTCCTACTCAGATCTTAATAGAAATCAATGAACTAAGTTGTACTTTAAAAACTGACATTCAAGTGCAACTTGTTGCTGTTAATAAAGAATACATAGCTGTTTCTTCTGGTAGACAAATTGCGGCCTATACAATTTATGAGGATGCATCTTTGAATACCACTGTAATTGCAAATTTCAATTGTGATACCGAAAAATTATTGATTTACGATCACACTTTGATCATCTTAACTCCTGTAGTCATACAATTACGATCAATGGAGGGTACTGTTATTCAAATGCTACCCACATTACCAGAAGAGGGTGAACCAATTACAATGGATCTTACAAGTCAATATTTGACAGTTGCATCTTTAAATGGTATTTTAAAAATTTGGGACTTGAGTAAACGAGAAGCGAAGTTACATACCAGAGCAATGGCGACTTATGAAGCGATTAGTGATTTTGCTGAAATCATCGAAGCAAGATGCAATGCTGACTGTCGTTGTGTATCTATTACTGTTGCAATGGCTAATTTGATGCCTAGTTCTATTTTGTACGTTTGGGACATAGAAAGTGATCACATACACGAATTTGATTTCGCAGAATCTAAGAATATAGACGAAGACGACACTACTTTATCTGTAAAATGTAAAGGAAGGCTGGTTACTGCTCATTGTTGGGATATTGAAGATCCTAGATTGTTAGTATGCCGAGCACAAAGACTAGAGATCCAAGATTCCAAATACTCCACAAAACAAAACAATGAAAACGATTATGATATTTCAAAGAGCACTGTAGTTTTGGTATCAATGTTCGCTACTTCTGATCACGGTATCGTTGTACAAGATATAAAACCAATTAAGGATGAGAATTGTAGAATATTAGGTGTTCATTCTCCATATATCATTATTTTGAACTCCGAAAAGTCGATAGAAAGAATTAGCAAAGTAACGAAATTGCTTATGAGAGACTTTGAGGAACTAGGTACATGTGATTCGGTTACAAAGAAAGCTATATTAGATTTCAGCTTTCATATCAGTGTTGCTAATATGGAGGAAGCCTTTAAGTCAATTAAATCTATTAAAAATGAAGGCATTTGGAAAAGTTTGGCTAGGATGTGTGTAAAAACAAAACAATTAAATATGGCACTTTTATGTTTGGGTCATATGAAGCAAGCTAGAGCAGCAAGAGCTCTTAGAGAAGCTATGCAAGACGACAGTTTAAACCTAGAAGCCAAAGTAGGTACATTAGCGGTTGAGTTAGGATTATATAATGATGCTGAACGTCTTTTCCGCGAAGCAAAAAGATTAGATCTACTGGGCAAGCTTTTTGAAGCACGTAATAAGTTTAAAGAAGCTATAGAGTTGGCAAGAAATGAGAATAAAATTTGTGAAAAAACAAGTTACTATAATTATGCAAAAGCTCTCGAGCAAGAGAATAAAATAGCAGAAGCTATAGAGATGTATACAAAAGCAGATTGTCATAGATTTGAAGTGCCAAGGATGTTGCTTGTTAGACCCAGAGAACTATTGACATACCTTAATAATTCAGAAGATCCAGAAATTAAAAATTGGCATGCACAATATATAGAATCAACTGGAGACATGGAAGGAGCATTGAAGTTGTACGAACAGGCTAAAAATACTTTAGCCATGACTAGATTGCTCTGTTATTTTGGTAGAGAAGATGAAGTTAGCGAATTAGTATCGCGAACAAATCATGCTGCCTCTGCATATCATTTGGCTGCTCATTATGAGTCAAAAAATAATGTAACTCAAGCTATTCATTTCTATACCATTGCCAAGGCCTACACAAATGCAATTCGGTTGTGCAAAGAACACGATATGTTCGAGGAACTATGGCCTTTGGCTGTATTAGCTCCAAGGCAATCACAGATAGATGTTGCAAAGTATTATGAAGAAAATGATCAATCAGATAAGGCAGTTTTGCTATATCATAAAGCTGGTTTATTGCATAAGGCTTTGGATATTGCTTTTAAGACAAAACAATACAGTGCTTTGCAATTAATTATTATGGATGTTAATGCGGATTCTGATCCTGCTTTGATAGAGAAATGTGCAGATTATTTTGTTCAAAATGATCAGATTGAGAAAGCAGTAGACCTACTTGCAACTGGTAGAAAATATTTGGAAGCTTTGGAATTGATGCAGAAACATAGTATTTTATTAAATGAAGATTTAGCTGAAAAGATGACATTGGATAAAGTTGATAACGACATAGATCGTGAAAAAATACGAATTTCTATATTAGAAAGGATAGGAGAAATAGCTTTTGAGCAAGGAAACTATCATTTAGCAACTAAAAAGTTCACTCAAGCTGGTAACAAATTGAGAGCTATGAAAGCTTTACTGAAATCAGGTGATACTGAAAAAATTTGTTTCTTTGCCCAAGTATCTAGGCAAAGAGAAATTTATATTATGGCTGGAAATTATTTGCAATCGTTAGATTGGCAGAACCAACCAGAAGTATTGAAAAACATCATTAATTTTTATTCCAAGGGGAAAGCAATGGATTTGTTGGCTAATTTCTATGTTGCTTGTGCACAAGTAGAAATTGACGAGTTTCAAAATTACGAAAAAGCTTTAGATGCTCTGAATCAAGCAAGCAGATGCCTGGCTAAAGTAACTACCCCAAAAGATCTTGATATTCATAAAAGAGCAGTCGATTTGGTGAATAATAGAATAGGAGCAGTTAGACGTTATTTAGACATCAAAAAGTATGTCGCTTTACAATTTACATATAGCAGATAAAAAATAAGTAACACACATTAATGAAATATTATTTATTGTTGTTTCCAGGTTGTTTGATAGAGGCGAAACTGGGGCAGCAATGCAACAAGTGCATCAATTACTTGATTCTCAAGGACCAGATTTAGAACAAGCGGTACGTCGTGGTGACTTATTTGCAACTGTTACTCAGCATTATATCAACATTGGTGATACTGATAAAGCACGCGCTACTATAGAAGAATTAAAGCGCTTAATACCAGGCATTAATTTAGCTTATTATTATAATGTGGGTGTATTAGAATTACTTGGTTATAAAATGAAAATTCAACGACAAGAAAGTTCCGATAAGGAAGACGATATCGAGGAACTCTTAGGTGAATAATTAAATATAAAATACATACACTACAGTACAAGTTGATGAAATCCGTCCAAAAAGGTGATTATAGGTACTAAGTATAGAAAATAGATTGATTGTTATAAAATATTTGTATGATATTATAATTTGGAAAATATAATATGCGTTTTATTTAAAATGTGATTGAGTTGTTGCATAGCTATAACACGTTTAGAAAAAATCAATCATTTAACGTTTATTATTCAGACTTATACATAAACAGCCTTACTTTTTAATGTTTTAGTACGTCCTAAGAAATAAAAGTAATTTGGACAGTAATGGGCAAATAGTTCACTGTCAATTTCGTATTAGATGCAGAATAAATACACGAATTATAAAAATAATGACAGAAAAAAAGAGAAATAAAAATATAGACACTCAATAACACATGAATTGTAATTATTGAATAAAATAGAATCAAACTAGTGTCTCATCTGTTCCTATTAAAACATTTTCCCTGGTGTACAGAGTCTTTTCGCTGGGATCATCGATATTTATTCTATTTTGGTCTAACGCTAAAAGTTCCACCTTCGGTATAGATTTTTCCCTCAAATTTTTATCCCGCGAAACAAAATAACAAGGTACCATGAACATTTTAGATACACCAAACTCAAACAGCTTCAAACAGCTTTTTCTGGCGTCGGTTTTTTGCATGGCGACGCAACCTCTGTCTCTGGTTCGTCGCCTTTTCGTTTCTTACGCACCAAATGAGATATATCACTAGCAGGTTTTTGAACTTTAGGTGCAGAATCACTGCTACTACTCGGTCCTGCACCGTTCGAACAACCACCAGCTACTTTGCTTTTAATACCTTCTATGACAAGTTTGCAGGCCTCCTGCTTGAAGTCTTTCATATCTGAGATTTTTTCTTGGATTTCTGGTAATAGTTCCTTCAGCTCCTGAATTTCTCCCTCCACGGTATAGAAAGAATCGTCTGTTTTAGGAGGTTCTTTCATTCCTTCTAGCTCTTTGATACACGCCTCCAACAAGTCTGTGGCTTTGTTGAACTCCTCGATGCTAGCATCGAAGTCATTGCCTAAAGAATGAGCTAATGCAAGCTGATAGTGAATCTCAGCTATTGCTCTTGGCTCTCGTGGCTCGATTTGCTGAAGAAGTTCTAGACACCGATGTAGATCGTTCAAAGCACCCTGGAAATTTCCTCCCTCCATGGCCACCTCGCCTAAGAGTCGATAAGCATCGGCGAGTAATTTCCAACCGGTCTGACCACGTTTCAACAACACCAGTTTTGCCAGCTCTAACACTTCCCAGGCAACCTTTAATTTAATGGCATTAATTGAATTTTGCAATTTCTAATATTACAGATTTGATAGGATTGATGATACCTTTAAACGAATATCTAGTACAGTTTATATGCAAGTTTTCTAAATTAAAAAAGGTCAGTTCCTTCATAAGGTATAACAAAATACAATAGCTAAATGTAATGATGTATCAATAGTAAGTAACAAAAGAAGGCAAATATATTAAGGAATCTCTCGTAGATCGTACAGTACCTGTAGATTGTTAACTTCGTCCTCTTCATCTTCCTTTCCTATATCTTCGCCATCATTTTCTCCATTTTCCTTTACATCTCCATTCTGCTTGGTCGAACAAGAGTGACCATTGGCGTGACTCATATCTTTACTAGAACCAGGAGCAGATTTGTCCTCTTCCTTCGGCTTTTCTGTCTCTTGCTCCGCCGATTTACTATCTTCAGCCTTGTTAGAACTCGACTTCTCCGCTTCTTTCTTTTCGTTACTGGGTTCTACCTTCTCTTCTTTCTTCTCAGCTTCCGATTTTGAAGGTTCCACTTCAGTTTTCGTGTCTTCAGCGGTGGCTTTCTCTTTTGCCTCATCGGTTGTGCCGTTGTCCGCGTGCTCTTCATTCTCTTCATCTTCCTTCTCGTCAACGTTGCTCAGCTTCTCATCCTCTGCATCATCCTCATCTTCCTCATCGTCGTCTTCAGTTTCCTCTGTGCCTGGTACACCGCCACCCAACACTCCAGCCTCTTCCCTAGCTAGACCAAGAAGAGCACGACCGTAGAGCAAGTAAGGCTCACCGAGTTCATCCGCAGTGTCGCCATGTTTTTCAGCAAGAAGCTGGCAAGCTTGTGCCAATGCAGTTACAGCCATGGTGTAATCCCGTACTAACAGGTGCCGTTTCCCATGGGAGATCGCGGTTGCTGGGTCGGTAAAGGCTGCACTCTCGGCGACATCGGCCATCTACAATGTGAAACGTACTGTGTTTATGTGGTTTCTCTTACGGGGTACATAAGCGAGCTGAAATGATTTTATTTCGAAACTTGTTCAAAGAATGAGCATAAAAACCTTGTATTTTACATTTCACGATAACTTTTGTTAACTTATTCAAACACCATTAGCTTCGTTTAAGAAATCATTTCAAGACGAATTATATACAGAAGATATACGATATCTTGGATCGAAAAATGCTCTTTGATCATCCGCCCACGAGGGAGGTCCAGTGCAGTGCTAGTAATGTCATGATGCAATTAAACGGTGTACAGAATATACCACCTACGCAAGATACGTGTCGTGCTTTCTACGCTGATGTCTAACGTCACAACAATACATTCCGTCCTGACTAATGCTGACATTAACTAAATAAATACGGAAAGTCTGTAGGATGTCGCACGAATTCAACTTGACTGCTAACAACTTGCGGCTGAGTAAGGCGAGCAGTTTAGGCACGTTTCGGACAGCATTTAAATGTCCAAGTATAATAACAATGTTAGAACAATTATAAATATAAAAATAACGGTAGAACAATAGTAATTTTCTGTCTCTAGTACGAATAATTTACTTAAAATCTTCTTTTATAATACAATTTCACAGACGAATACAGTTTGCAACATTGTGGCTAATGATACACGATTTTCGACGATTTACCAAGTTCATAACTTGCTCATAGAATTGTCGTTCGACCTTAGAACTTTTACAATCTATACTGCTAATAGCTAAAGTTTCTAGATCACATAATTCCAGAAGAGAGTTATATATCATGGCTATTACGTCTAGCGTTTCATTGGCTACTTGATGGCTCGTTGACACTGAAGCTCCAAAAACGTGTTCAATCGTCTATCATTGAATCCAATAACGTTAACTTACTGGAAGGCTATTTGAGTGTTATTTCTATTTCACGATCATCTAAAAAATCGCACTCCGAGGAAAGTGTGTCTGAGAATCCAAAGAAGTAGTCCAAAAACGATAATGGGGCAAAAGAACGATTACCATGTCGAATAAACAGAGCCAAGAGAGAAAGCAAGTAGCAAGGGAAGAATAGGAAAGGAGTGGATGAAATTAAGGAATAAACGGAGTACAAGAAGAATAGAATAATGGAAGGAAACAAGAGAAGAAGGGCGAGGAACAAAGGAGAGAATCGCCAGAGTGGGTTGCCCGCAGCATCCGGGTGGGGTGGTCGGTTGGGTGGTACGTCGGTCGATTTTCGTGCGCTTCGACGCAGAACGGAGAGGGCGTGCTGATCGTTTGCCCCCTTATAGTGGTGGAGAGTCGCCGAAAACACCACGAGCTCCGGGGGTGTCGATTGGTCAGTGCGTAACTGGCAACTGTCGGTGCGGTTGTGCGGCTTTCAGTGGGCTGCCAGTGGTCGCCCTGGGCACCACCTGCATGGATGGAGCCTACCCGTGTACCCAGGGCCCCTGGTCCACGTCTCGTTTTTCTCGTCGCGACGCTGGCCCTGACTTTCGCAGGTAATCGACACGATTCTCCGCGTTCGATGATCCTCCCTTCCGCCTGACGTGTTTTTGTTTAGACTAACCGTCTAGACCGGCATTCTAATTCACAAATCCTATCTTATGTAACGAATAATCGGATAAGCTTGTTCGTTTCCATTATTAGTTTCCTAGACGCACGTTGAACGATGCGGAATGTGTTTCTTCGAATCCTGTGTACAGATCTGTGTGTCAAGCCATCAGCTGATCCGGAGAATCGTGTCTCTGGGCCATTATGGGGGATGACCTAAACGCCACGATGGCCGAGAACGTGTTTTTATCGTGTTCTTAGTCAGTGTGTAAAAATATATCGTGACTGATAAGAGTTACAACGAATATCCAGACCTTCGATTCATCGTATACCGGTGTACGTTTTTAATGCACTGCTTCGTTTCCTGTTTAAAATTTATGTCAAATGGAGGATGGGTGTAAAATGGAGGAACACGTGGATAACGATGCTCTCGTTCGTGGTTCAGAATGAAATGTCGCATTTTGCACCATCATCGTGTCTGATCGCACCTGTGGTGCACGTAGATAACGTCTATTCTTAGTATCGGTGGTTTTTGTCACAAGTTTCCGTGTAATCGTTGTATCCGGGTGCAGCAAACAATGCAATCTAATGAAACCATCTATAAAAATGTAGGCTATTTCGCTTATATCGTTACCGTACTGGATCATCATCGTGCCATGTGACTTCCTTCGATAAACACTTCCTCCAAGTTCATTTAATTATCTTCCAAGTGTTCATACACTTTGTTAATAGTTCTTCTTGCTTGCCTGGAAGCTTCATTGGTAGAAGGGTCAACAACCACCGGTTGAATTCATTGTATCGTGCATTTTTTCGCTGGAGGGACACGGTCATTCCAGAGAAGTGCTCCTATGCTCTATTATATTCGAGGACCCTTACCAACGGCGGCCACTAGATTTCTTATGCAATAAAATGTTCTATGGCATGCACTCTGGCCATGGCGCGAAAATGGGGCCTCTCCTCGAGGCTCCTCGTTAAATGCGGGGCTTCGCCTTTATCGCCGTCGATTCCGACAAACGCAGTAGAATCGTCTTTCTGTTTATCTTTCCTAGGCAGCGGAGATCCGTTTCCGATGGCAGAGATTGTTGCAATAAGATGCAGCAGCTGAAGTAGTATAATCCAGTGGTCAGATGCTTCAGGTATTAACGCATGTGCAAAATCTTCGTTTGAATATCTCGTTACAAACTAGACTGAAAAAAGTGTAACACGTTACTCGTGAATATCTATCTTTGGGAACGCAAAGGTTTTACAAATGTTGAAATAATACCTTCGAAGACGCAGAACTTTCAAAGACTTTGGTAATGCTAGATGCTTGAAAAGAATACTCGAAGACTAACTCTCCCTCGACACCGTTTCGTTAGTGTGCATATTACTAGAGGTCGATCACCGACTTATGGAGATTTAAAATAACGAGGACATTCCGGCACAGAGGAACGTCGATACTTTAGTACAGAGAACCGTATTTCATCTCTGTTCCAGCGACCGGATTATTGTGTGGTGCCATAATGTCGGATCACTGGGAGGAAGTTAACTGGGATAAGGAGATTTTGACCCGCGCCAATGTTACACTCACGTGGTATTTGGATGGACAGGTGGCGATGCTAGAGCAGACTTCCGCCCACAGAAACCATCACCCTAATAGACGATCCACCTTCCTTGTGCCCATGTATGGTGGAATTTGGATCATGTGTGTCTCGCTTACTGGTAAGTTTTCACAGATTTCCACCAAATCCATTTTCTATAGACAGGTGCTTCACGAAGAAAATCTCCGAAGAGTATTAAAAATTCCTTCAAATTACATGTACCATAGAACAGACGTATGGGACTGTTTAACTTGCTGTTACATTCTGAAGAAGTTTCATTCATAAATCCAATTTTTAGGAACTACATCGATTAAAATTATATTCTTACGTTCATATCCACGAAGAATTTATTATTTTATTATTTTCGTGCCAAGTCCTCATTTCATTATTCCTTCTACAAATTAAAACTATGATCCAAAGTATCCGAGATTTTCCTATGCAATATATAAGTCGTTGAAAAAGAATTCATTTCGAAAATACTTGTTTCGAGCGAATAAATTCGAGAATAGTTCTTTATAATGTTTATTCGACGACGACACAGAAAATCGATCCTGCATCGTGTATTTTCAATGATACAGGTGTGCATACACCTTCTCACATAACCGCCACGACGTGTGTACCTACGATGATGCAGTTCCGTATGAATAGTGTTCTATACGTGGATACCACCTTGACTCTGACCAAGCTATCGACCAGTTGATTACGATCTGAAACATCGTGTTGTCTAGGCATGCCATGACCGTGAACATCTTCGGGACGTTTCTTAGTTAAAAGTTCGTGTCAATCACTTTTACCATTCTTGAACCATTCATTCGAACGAAACGAGGAGTGGAAACATGCTGGTTCTACACGGACATGTCCTTGTCTCTTTTTCGTTTTCAGTCTCTTACATAATCAATGAATAATGGGTACTGTAAATGTGAAACAGATACATATCAAGACATAATAATACCGTAAAACATTCTAGTTTCAGGTAGATTCGTATAGAAGGAAAAATGTTCAAGGCACTATACCTTGGGTAAAAACGAGTAAGATACCGCGTAAATAAGCGTGTTTACTGTTTCATTATCGGAGAGGCTGTCTTAATGAAGATGTATGTTACAGTAGATTTGACGATACAACGAGATCCTAAATTAATGTATTAAATAGTAGCATTGATCGATGCAAACATTTCAAGGCTGTTAAAATATATTTCAGTGAATTTGATTGAAATTCCAAACCATTATTTCCCCAGGTTTTTGTAAATTTTATACTAAATATTATTTGTCAGAGTTATGGAAGAATGAGTGAGTGCGAATACTTTGAGGGATAGTTTCCTGTGCATCTCTGTGCCTTTGATTTTCCATGACTTCCAAATTGCTCGAAACTGATCCACTCTGTACAACTATCCCTGACAAAATGGTTTCTGGCCACTATCTGACTACTCTTGGACACTTCTGGGGCAACCTATTCAGTTACCAAGCACCAGAGTGGACAGATTGCTGGTGGGAAATAATCTATTATCACCTTATGGGTTTTTCTTCGCCAATATCTTTCTATGATGCATAGTACTCTGATGAAACTTGCAACAGATTTGGGGAAGCAAAATCTTATCAGGAGAAAGATGATCCAGAGAGAATTCTATCGATGAAGAAAAATCAACTTTCAAAAGGAAGAACAAATTTTATATACGGCTGAATTCTAACGAGTAAAAAGAGATTTGTATAAATTAAAAAAACAATATAAAATTTCTACGAATAATACAAATTTACGGGAAATACTTGTAGTACAAGGTCCTATTCCTTCTTATTCTACACGAAGTAGCAAACGCAGTGGTAATTTGATGAAATCCAAGGAAAATATTAGATCCGCCATCAGAAATGAGGTCGTTTCCTCGAGGAGAATGGTCAAAGTGTCCTAGAAAAAGTCAATCGTGGAAAAGTACGAAAGGGCGTGACGCAGACAAATAACCAAACAAAACACCATAGAAATTGCAGCACGACCTGGAGCCTAAATTAAATCACACCTTTCTAATACTTCGTTAAGAGAAATTCTCATAAGAAGGAAAGCAATAAAAATAAACTAACCGAGAACAAACGTAATAAAATACATGAAAATAAATGAAGAATTTGCAAAATATAAAAGTACATCGCCACAAAATACACATTGGTCATGATAAATACCCAAATCGATAACTTCCAGTATCGACATGTTTTCCCTTCGTTCATTCAGGAAGTACAGCTATTATCGTTAAGAATTATTGCTATAAAACATGATAAGATCGGCCACCTTAACGATATAATCTTATCAAGGAGAAAGTATGTAACTTTGATAGAAAAAAGTATATAAAAAGAACTATGCTTAATTTGGCTTATATTATCTTCTCGACAACAGAAGAGATAATTGCTTCTTCGCTTGCTGATGCAGCTTATAAAATCCATAATTTTATTATTAATTTCTAGCTTTGCATTCCGTAACGAGCGATGCAATTATTTCGCGTTTCGGAGCGTGATCTCGTTAAATAGAAAATTTTACGACAACCTTTTTCTCCCTTTTTCTTTTCTCTCCATTCTTACTACGATTCCGTAGCATTGAACATTACAACGCGGCATAACGAAATCGTTTCTTCGTCTTTCCTCGATGTTTTATTAATGATTCGTTGAATCTTTATCGTCAAAAAGGTTTAATCGAAGAGAAAGTCCAACAGTAGAATTGAAATTCCAACGTTTCTCTGTTTTCTGACGATCGTGCCTTTTTTGACTGCGTGGGTAGTCCGCCACTGTTGATTGTACGTTCTGAACGTTTAATTTTCTCGCCCCATTGGGGACAAGGGAAAAATGAGAAGGCCACGATTACTATTTCGATCTTTTACTCCAAGTCGAAGCACCTTTGTAGTCGTTTGCTCAGTATTCGAATCTCTTGATCGTTTTTAAATCGCTTGATGCTTCACTGTGTATGAAGATATAGAGAAGAAAGTATCAAATGTTCTACAAAGATTTATAAAAAAATTAATAGCAGTTTCTACGACTAATGAGAGGAATTTTAATCGTTGAATGAACTTGACCTTCGAAAACATGTACCGGTGTAATTTGTTCGTTCGGTTTCTTTTTTGGAACTTCCGTTGATGGTTTCTGGTCACGCCAAGCACGAAGCATTACCTACTGTTTAAATCAGGCGGTGCATGTTTCTCCATTCTGCACTGGTTTTTCATGAAAATCAATCTAGAATTCTCAACTCGCCAATGTTATGAAACTATCCTATGACGTTTGATATTCCTATTTTCGTATAAATAATTTTTAGCAACTTTTTGAACCTATCAAATGCTTGAAATCCTTTTCCAATTTCAGATATAGAAATTCGTTAGTCAAATGTCACCTTTGCACGATCGAAACTCAGCTTGAAATGTTTTTCTTCATTTGTTCAATGCAAGCAAATGCACGAGGACAGCCAACCTAGACCCAATGAACTTGAATCGATCTATTTCTGCTTCAGAATTTATTATTACTCGATCCTCCAAGTTTCTGCGACCTTCTATCCCTCGTCTTCCTGACATTTCACGGAAATCCACGTTCAGGTTCATCCTCTCCAACAAGCCGATAGTATTTGGAATCTGATATCGAATCTCACGCTCCAACTATTCGGCGCTCCTGTCCCGAGACTTAATTTGACTACTCGTTTCCAGCAGGGAATTAATCAGTCATACATAAATCTGTGTAAATCAGTATTCTTTCCACGGGAGTACGAATTTTGTTGTTGCCTTTTTAATTACGGCCAAATCCGGATACTTGGCTAGAGCTCCAACTTTGATTTCTCGTTCTCTTCTTCCAAACGATCAATTCCACTTCCATCGTAAAATTATCTTACGACTAATTTGTCGTTGTTGATCTAAGGAAATTCAAATTTAATTTTCAGTTAAAAATAATAGAAGAAAAAAAGAAAAAAAAAAATATAGAAAAGGTATCAGAAATTCCTCTATTATAATTTGTCATTAAATATTCATAAGAATTTATAATAAATCCAGGGCTACACGAGGAATATGTTGCTCGAAGAAAAATTCAATAAAATTTGTTCCACTCTGATACTCTTTGCGTTAAATACGGGATTGGACGTTTCTACACCCTTTCATCGAAATTTCAGCACGCGGAAGAAAGCTTTTAAAGATCGTTTAATTAAAAATCGAGCCGAGGGGAATGATGGAAGTGGAAACGAGCGAAACCTACCCGTTCACAATTTTGTTCCATGTCGTGCAAGGAACAGCGTGAAAACGACGTCATTTCTTTTTTTTTTTTCACTTCTCCTGTTTCAGAGGAGGAAATACGACTACTGGGTCAGGTAGGTTTTCCGCAAGAGAGGTGCATTAACTACTTGACGCCCGACGAAGCACACGAGGAGATCCGTGCCGCCTGGCAAAATCGTGAGTACAGCCGACGTTTTTCTTTTCTTCTCCCTTTTATTTCGACGACTGTTGGCGTGATTACCGTTGCTAAATTGATTTCTATTTACGGCGACTGAAAATTAAATCGATACAGCGTAATTTTCAATGTTTGCCCTCGGAGGAAGAGTAGCTCAAATATTTGGGTCAAGATTACTTTATCATGATGAGATATTGCAATTCTGTGATAGATTTAATTGATAATTTTCGTCACCTGAGTTGATCACTTCTTGAAAATTCTAATGTCCATTAGATATTAGCGAATCTTCTGAACAATAGAAATTCGTGTTCTTTTGCAGGGATGCAAAACTTGAGTATCTCCTGTTCTCTAGTCTGCCTGATCATTCTGGGCACCGCCGTCCTTATTGGATTTTTTGGACTCTGCAGACACCAGATATCGGCGGTCCTCGTTACCGGTGTGATGTATCTTCTAGCAGGTGAGTCTGTCGTCGAAAGAACTCTTGCCAATAACCGTGCTAATCACATTGACCGAACAAACTTTATCGACGTGGAACATTGTGGTTGCGGGAAACCTGGCAACCGCAAGGATTTCTGCACACTTAGGAAGTCAACCGCGATATAAGCTATTCTAAGATGAGAGTACATCGTTAAAAAGTTTCGAGCTTAATTCACGCGAAACTCGTATTCTTATCGGTCGATAATAAACGAGGAAAATTGTTTCGCGAAGGTGATAGGTGTGAAGGATAAAAGTACGAACCGTTAATCACGAGTATCATATTTACATCTCTCCATTGTCTTGTACTCGATTAAACCTTGAAATAAAGTGATTTTTATCAGGACTTTGATATTTTTCATGAATAATGAAGGTGTTTTATTATTCAACGAAAAAGCTTTCCTCTTGACGCTAGTGGTTTCCCTCGAGTACGATAAAAGGCAAACACCTCTCACCTTTGATAAGGCGTCCACAAACATTCCAGGACTCAGTGCATTTTTACATATATTTTTTCTCTCCAATTACTAATTTCTTTTTAGACGTAAGAATGAAATTGATGAAATTTGTAGTTATTTAAAATTGTTTTTAATTATTCTCGTATATATCACGTGAGCGTTAATCAATTGTATCATAGGAAAAAGCTTCCTTTTAACATGGGATAACTGTTTTAGCCACGTTCGCGTTGTTTACCCTGACGATAATTCATTTCAAGAGAGCTCAAGATCGCGGAGCTCGAATACTGGACGGCCCTGAGGATGGTGTAATTGGTGGACCGGTTCCTCGTAATATTCTCAAGGCCAGACGATTCACCAGCTCCTGGAGCATGGACTTTGGATGGGGCGGTGTTACGCTATGCGCCCTCGCCTCACTAGCATGGATCATGCTCAGCAAAATAATGCGTTTCAGCCCCATTGCTGCTATGATAGCGTAGCAGTGGGAGGCCTTCGAGGTCTAAGGTCGTTTCCAAGTGTTATGATAGAGCGTTTCGATGTCGTCGCCTTTTTAAGCGTGTTCCAACCCAATGGAGGGAGATTGCGTTTGTTCATAATGGGAAACAGGTCACAGGAGTCGATTGTGTAGTCTCTGTTTTGTTCTAACTGGAAAGTGAGTCAGCTTGATGGGCAGCTCAATACCATGAACTGTTTTGTAAGCTGTGGAATTTTCATTGTGCAAAGTAATCAATTTGTGTGAAGCTGTTGCTTGTGGCCTGCAAAGCAAGAAAGTTCAGATGTGTGGGTGGAAGTTTGACACTTGAAAGTAATTACTTGAAAATAGGGCGCGACATTGAGACAAATTTTGAGAGTATTTTTTCAGAAACGACATTACAATTGAAAATGACCACCTCGAAGGCAGTTTGTTTTATCAACAGGTAATGCGTGTTGCATAATGTTTGTCAACTTTATGGAACTTACGTTGGATCCGTCTAAAGCATGGCAAGCTGTAGAAGGAGCCTAAATTTTTGGCTATTCTTCTAAATGCAACGTTTTGTACAATTTACCTAACAATCTTTAGTCCTTGACAAAGAAAACATACATGACCGAGCGAAGAACTATATGTGGAAGAGGGATGTAAAGTTTTGAAATAATATATCTTGTACCTCTAAGTTTCCAAAGCTTTAAAGTTTTGCACAGATTTATGTCCATCTGGAATGATCCAAAGGTCCCCTTCTCGTATAGATCTTTACGAAAAAGTAAAATATTTACAAGTGCATGAATATGAGATAATGTGTAGGAGGAGAGTAAGCTTACTGGACTGAAGAAGTATCATTCAGTGAAAAGTAGAACAGAAGTACACGTTTACCTCAGTTTTCATTTGCAGTCAGATTAGTCAATTAATGTACGAGTAAAGAAAAAACCTTACTGGTTCTAGTCTGTCTTTTTAGACATACTTTTAATAAACACCTATCATGGTCTTGTTTTTATACAGCTGAAATAGATGTGTTTAAGTTAATGTGTTTAAGAGAGTTGATTTGGGATAAGAATATTTTTGTGTGTTGTAGAAGCTGAGACAATATTTGTTGAACTTTGCTTGAAAATTTCAACACAGATTGTAATGTAATATAGATGCATATAGTATAATTCAATCGCCTTATAATTAGAACGATAAGCATGTTTGTAATATGCATAGCATAGCAGTAAACTTGTTCGAGCCAATACAAGCAACGATATGCGTGTTTGCAAGAAGAATTTAGCTTTTGCTACGACTTGTTACAGCAAAAAAAGAGGAATTATGCCAACAAAATGTATAATATACGAAGGATTGTGAATTGCAATTCGTCCATTAAGATTTAAGAAAAATAAAGATGCTTTGATTGAAAGCATCTATTATATACCCGGAGAATAAGTTTTGCTAGTTCACTAATAAAATGATTCAAATAAAAAAAAGAAATGAATATGCGTGCGAAACTTTTCTCCGAGTATTTATTTAAGTGAAATGCATTTTTCTGATAATATTTTCTTGATTGTCATATTTTTTACCTGACCCTTGTTATTTGTTACATTGAAATTAATGTATTATAAACGCAATAAAAAAAATAAGCTATGTATAAATAAAAGATACCCTTGTTTTCTCAGTTTTATCATTTACAATGCGATACTAAAAAAAAAATGAAAAAAGTAAACTTTTATTTGGTGACGTGGAAGGTTATGTTTCGCAAACAGCTCTGCAAAAGTATGGATCTCGTTGGACAGACACATAACCAACGTCACTTTCCGCATATATGAACATTTGAATACGGAACACGTGACCAATCGTAACACGTATAAGTAACGCGGGACGTGTTATACGTTACAACCTACACACATACATCAGTTCACAGATTCAACAGATTATATTTTACGTCGTGGTAAACAACAAAAGTAGTACAAGCGTGAGCTCATTGTACTAAGAATGTACGTATAAAAATAAACTACACGTTACGCACGATTTTGTTCAATAAAATCGTTTAACACATTGATTGCCACGCAAATTTTCTGATTCCACAATAGAATTTTCATTCCGCTATAACGGTCTATATAATTTATATAATATATCACGTTTTAATTAAAATCTCTAATTGTTGAATAGTGTCTTTTTTATTTCGTAATAATATTTGATTTCCTATATTGTTCGAAATACTTTACATGATACTTATTTTATTTTAATCATTCTAAATAACTGTAGCACCCTGGTCATTGATGACAACCATGGCTTCACTGAGAAAACAAGCTTCGGTCACGGGTGATCAACGTGGCAGACGTGTTAACAATAGCAACCTTAATTTACAGATGTGCGAGACACCTCATTCCTTAATATCATTATTCATATGAATGTTCGCACATGTAAATGGAAAATTAAAAATATGGGCAACGTATATAGAATACAAAGAAAGTATACATACCTTAATTCCGTTCGAAACAGTGGACGTTTGGTGGTTTTTTAACGACAGACACGCTTTCACTATGTTCTCTCCACGTTGCACGCAACGTCCTGAATATCACGAACTTTACTTTAACAGTTACAAGTAAATTTATGTACAGAGACGCAAAGAGATTTAACGGAATGACCGTTATATCAAACAACGGTTTATTACCGGCACGCAATACAACTTGTACGAGCGTCAAGCACAACATGAGCACAACGATTTAACCTGCATTAATGTGAACGGACCTCTCTACTACGCATGTGTGTCCATTTTACCGCCATTTCCGTCTTTAGGCGGGAAACGTTGATTTTCCTAAAGTAATATATTGATTTCAATAAAATTTTAAAATAAATATATGTTCCAATTATGTTTTTTAATTTATTATTTATAATTTTACTCATTCTTATGCTTTAAGTGATTAAAATATCATGTACGTATTTATTTATTTCTAGTATATTCTAAGCAGCGTACTATCGAAATAAACTAATTCGATACATCGAATACGATACGACATAGTTCCAAATTTAGTAATTAAAGTTTATAATTTTCTCCACAATGATTATCATAAAAAACAAAATATTTCATTTCTAGAATTAAGAATAAAATGCGAAATTTACTATTAAAAGGCATAAAAAAAATTATGAAAATATCATATAAAGGATCGTAATCGATTTGAGCACATCGACATTAGCAATCTGCGCAATAGAAACATTTCAAATTTTTGCGCATCATCCATTATTTCGCGCAGTTTTAGTTGGTGGTGTGTTGTGTCGTTCTTTGAATTTCCAAAGAAAACTACAGAAATTGTGGAATACGAGTCGGTGAGTACTCACAATATGACAATTATGCAGCTCTCTTTCGATTTAGATAATGATTAATGTAAAATGTAACAAATATCGAGGAATATTATATACAGAAGTCAATGTGCTTCTATTGCCCGTTGATTGTTGCAACAATCGACGTAGTTGCAAATTTTTATTTCGAATATGTGATTTTAATCCAAATCAGCATAATTTATTGCCACAAAATTATTAACAAATACATATATCGAGAATGGTTTAATATAAAATATTAGTGTGTAATAGTTCATTGATCGAAAATTTAATTCGCTTGCAATTATCGAAATATTGAAAAGCGATCGCCATATTATCATACGAAGGTGTGACGTCACATGAAATTTCGTACGTTAAAAGTAAAAGCGTAAGACAAAATGGCGTGAACTTTGAATTCAAGAATTTTTCATTTACAAATTCAAAGTTTAATTTCATTATAAAATAAAATCATAAAATTAAGGGGATATTTAATAGGAATAATTTGTAAAATATCAAAATAATAGTAAGAGGGA